ACTGAGCATATATGATCGATACTCGAGGTACTTTATAAACAAGAACGGGATGCATCAAAGGCATCATCACCATGAACAACGTAAGCGCGAATTCCAATGCAAGCATCTTGATTTTGTCCCAAAAACAGTTATCAGTGGGAACTGGCCCGGCAATAGGTCCATTTACTCCACAGTTTCCATTTGGTACCAGTCCTGTCCACAGACGACCATCGAGCCGGTGACGACCAAGTGGGGATGCAGATGGAGCTCAAGGTAGCAGTTGAGCAAGTCACAACCCCACCTGAAGTCCAGAGAGGTAAGATTACTACATGTACGAATTACAGAATAAAGACAAAGCAGCGCCCTGGCGCCTCCCTGGACTCGGCAACGGGCTCTCGGCTCTACTGCAAATATGGGGCTGGCGAAACGGCCGTCGAAACGACGGTCGAGGGCATCAACGCAGGGCTGCTGCGGGAGTGACGCGTGATGTACGATGAGCACTGTGTGCGATGGAGAACCCCCTCGCAGGCCCACCGCCCGGGCTATGCCTCTCACAGGATACCATGTAGGTGCTCATTTCGCTTCCCTTGCTGGGGGACGCCCTGCGTCCTGGCTGCAGGTCAGAGGGCCTGTCTTTTGTTCCATCTGGTTTGAACGTCCATTGCTGCGTTCGCTGGAGCAACTTGCTCAGTCCGTATTCGTACGCCGTCAGATGCCAAAACGACCTTTGTCGTTGACTATTCCGTGGCCATCTTGTGCCCTCCCCCTCCGGCCCTGGTCCTGGCCACCGTTCGCAACAGCCCTCCCACACGTCTGGTCCAATAGTCAGTCTCCCCCTCCCAGTGCATCACTGCATCTCCCGATGCCAAGACTTTCCAATCTGCAACGCCGGCGCTCGTTTTGCATTTCGGTTTTCGCCTTGGCGCGGTCCATGTCGTCGTCCTGTTTCGTGGTAGCGGCGTTTGCGTTTTGCTTCCTCTTTTGTTTACTGAGTATGTGTTTTTGTTCGTCTGCTTCTTTCCTCTGGCGTTGGCGGCGACGTCGATGTTGGCATTATTTTCTGGGGACTTAAACGTCCAGATGACGCGCCGTACGCATTTTTTTTCATTTCTCATACTTCCGTTCACCTCGCCCACGACAATTGACCTCCCCCCAGTCCCGGCAGCGTGGAAAGCGGAACCCTTAGTGTGTGTGGCAGTGCCGGCCCCTATTTCAGTGCAAATCAACTTGTTTGAAGTTTGATGGGCTGGAGATGGTGATCGGTTGGGCTCTTGGTCTTGCTATCTCTTGGCTTCCCATCATTTCCCAGTCAGTCTAAGCTCGACTGGCCGTCTCGTTGCCCCCAATCTCTCGTCTTTCGGACGAGTCGACTGGGGAGACAAGAGCGCAATCTTAGGGACAGTGGAAAAGTTGTGACGTTCTTGGACCCTTCCTTGAGAAGAAGCAGGACACCATCCCATTTTGAAATCGTCCCGAATGGAAACAGACAAGTTTGGCCATACCTCCTCAGCGAAGCTACCCCCCTCCCTTCTCCACCGAGTCCCCTTTGTGCTCTGATACATGTACGACGTATGTCGTGCACCTTCTCGAGCCTCCCCTTCTAACGGTGGGAATTATGCCACTAGCATCCAGAATGTGGACAAAAGCTCAAAATCAAAGCCTTCACGTCTGTGCTTATGGGGCTGGGGTGGCCCATAAACGGCCCTAGTCCATCGCCATGATTTGAGAAGCTTTGCCACTTGGCGTCCCTCAGGACCAGGTCCCTGAGAGTTTTGTTGCCATTGTGTTACTGTGCAGCGTGTGGTCTGGGCTCGATCGCTGGTTGACAGCTTGAAGGAATAGGGGCAGCATGGTTTTCCGTGGGTACCAACAGCCCTGCACCGTTTTCTGAATCCTTCGCGCACGCCTTGTGTCCGACCAACGATGCAGCATGTGAGTATATGGGGGGGGGGGCATCCAACGTCGCAAGGTAATTAAGCAAGTATCCGGTATGGGGCATGGAATTCGTCTCCCCTCTGCAGTAGGCCTACATGGGAGACATACCGTCAGGTATAGGAGAGAAAAGAAATGAGGGTTGAAACATACCGAAGCAGGCTATTATCAAAAGTAAAGTGGCAGGCGCTGAGTTAAAATAAAGTTAAAACAGGGAGGGAATTTCTGTGCAGGTTTGGGTAATGGCTACCATAATTCCGTGCACAAAACTGCTCTCCCGTCATACCACACGCTGTTCCTTCATTTGTACAAAACTGGTTCACGGTGCCCTATTTCTAGACATAGGGAATAAAACGAAGCACCTAGACAAGAATACTACGAGGAGAGCAAGACAGTGACAAGAGCAGAGCGGCGAGAGGACAACAATGAGAGGAGACTCGGTGCCATGCCTACTACGAGCAATCCCTGACTGTACAAAACACCAAATCTGGAAGGCGGAAAGCCGACTGAGAGTACGATATAAGACAGCGTAGTCCATCCTTCCGAGCGTCCACGCTCACCCCGTGGCCTCGGCACTGATACGTAAGACAAATCCGGGTAAGCAAGTGAAGCCTAGAAGCAGGGAAGCGTATGCTCCGAGAAATCACACTTCGCCGCCTGGCTCCTGTCCCAGGTGTGTATTTTACTTACATCTTACGTCTTACGTCGTATGTTGGAAGCAGGTCTGCGTATCATACCGAAGACACCGAAGCTGATTGTGATGACAGTTGCGGCTGGCTGGTCAAAATGGAAAAGATGTGTGTGGGTGTGTCTCTGCACTTGCTCAAAACACCCTGTTGCAGATCAAGACACCAATCCATTCTTCCCAGTAGCTCTCCCTCCTGCAGCCCTCACTCTAGTGCTCTTGCGGAAGGCGGACACACCCACACACGTCATACGGACTACAGAAGCTGCATGATTGTGGACAAAGGAATATGGGTGGTTATAATTTGCTCATCCGGGTCTAGGTCTGGGGGCTAGTTTCTCCTTTTGACGGTGTAGGTTTTGTTCCGAATTATCACACAAGATTGCATTCTCGCTGTGCCATTTCTTCATGGTTTGAAGCTCGGTGCTCTTGAGCCCCAGTGTACTGCTGATCATGTAGTAAGACATGCATCACTTTAGTCGTCTCTCGAGCTCTTCTGACTGCCTAGGGCCCCGCGCAGGACGAGAAGCCCGGGGACGAAGAGTTACAGGAAGAAAGGAAGAGAACAAGAATAAAACAGGGATCCGGTGGCTGTACATCGGGCCACGACAGTTGAGCTTGCCGTACCTCGGTGCCAACGCTCTAATACCCCCAAAGTCTCAGCTTGGGGCCCCTTTTAAACCACGCCTTGCGGCTCTTTTCGGGTTTGTTGGCCGTGCGCAGCGCATTTGGAAGGTGTACAATTTAGACGCCTTTGAGACAACTTGTTATGGCATTCCACAATTCGTGGCCGCCAATGGCTCTGTTTCCCTCGACTTGGTTTTTAAATGTGCACCAACTCTTCGCTTTCCCCTAATCGGTATCCCGATGCCCCCTAGTCTAGACGGAAGGACGGTTAGTTGCGACCGTTTTTCGGGAGTGGCTACCGGCAGCCGAAACGCCACGGAGACAAGCATCAATGGAGCACGAGCTTGTGGCTGGTCAAACGTTTTCACTGACCAGCATGGACTTTGGGAGGACAACATATGGAGAACAAACAATCTAACAAACAAGCAAAATAGCAAAGAAGAAACAACAACATCACTCAGAATGCCCAATGGCATCACTACAGGAACGGCTTGTAGCCAGGCGGCCCAGTGTGCTTGACTTACACAACAGTATGCAACATCCTCACATTTCCTTTTGGCGGGCCAATGCAATTCATTCTGCCGTCCCTGTGTGGACCGTATACGACAACCCCATATAGGTAAGCCTGCTGCTCTCACGTTTTCAAGCTGTCCTTTCGAGTTGCCGCCTTAGGAAGAACGAGAAGAAACAACGCTGGATAAGCTTGACCAGCGGCCTAGTGAATGCCGTGGGGTGGCAGAACAGACAAGAGACAGGCCAAAGTCGTCCAAGACCAGGTGTAAAACACAGACGCCGCGAGTCCAACGACGGACAGGCCACGTTTAGCGAATGCAACGGGCAAGTGGCATCGCGATATATCATATTGCAGATGCGAGCACACGCAAATTCCGGTCAGTCACGAGCCAAGCTGTAGAACGATAGCGTTGCAGCTGGTTCAGCCCAGTCGGCCGGATGCGGCTGCTTCGACCATGGCTGAAAACCATGACCTGCAGCCAATACTACAGCCCGGATACAGCCCGGAGATCCAAGAAGTTCTCGATACCCTTCAGCTCGCCACTAAACGTGGCTTTGATGTGACGCTAACGTTTCGAGCGCTTTTTTTTTAAAAAAAAAAGAACGCCGTTGTTGTTCCATTTAGAAGTAAATTTTACTGGATGGATGCGAAGGATCGTGCGCTTGAGGGTGGGACCGCTCGGCAGATGGCAAAGAAACCATGTGAAGAAGGCAAAACAACGATACGAACGCAATAATCGATTTGTTTGAACCGTCTTGCAATAATGCCATCAAAAACAACGTGACAAAAGAATGGGGGGCGCGAAATAGTTATCGAATACGAAATACAGAATGCACACAATATCACGACACAGTGTCAACCCAGGGTTGCATTGGACAATTACGAATATAGTTTGCAGGATGGCGGGCAAACGGCAAACAGGTCACAAAATAAATCCAAGCAATCTCACCAAAGACTGTGCCCTGCCAGGCTGTAAGCTTATTACGTCTGAGTGGACCCTGTTTTGCACTCACAACAGGAAAAGCGCCACAGGGAAGGTGCGCGATTCGTGCCAGGCGGGCGGCACGTGCCGATAGAGCGCTGTCGTTATCGCGATTAGATAAGATACAAAAAAAGTTCTTGGCAGGAACGCTAGTCCAAGCAAATTGTGCAGAAAAATGGTCGCAGAAAACGAGGCAAGCACAACCGGCAAACCGCCGACCTCTTTCCCTCGACAGACATCACCGTCGCACCTTCCTCCAAAACCCATCCCAACCCGCCAAGATGGGAAAGCGCAAGGTAGCTGCGCTCGAGAAACTTGATGCAGATTTGTACGTTGCCCCTTTTCATCCTCTGTTCCCTCTTTTCCCTCTCATCGCCAACCATCAACGCCACCCACCACATCAAGCCATTGCTAACCATCATCAGCGCGAGCCTGCAGTACAAGATCCGGCGAGACCCAAAGCAAGTATTGCCTTATCGATGACAGTGACAGCGGAAATCGCCACCACGGTCCTATGTCGACGCCCTATGGACCAAATCTAACCTCTCACAGGTCGTATGAAGATGAGTTCCAGAGACAATACGAGCAATATGGTATGTGACGCCTTGTATGCCTGGCTCTGCACGTTGTTCGCTTCTGGGGCACATTTACTAACTTACCCGCCACCTCCCCCCTCGTAAAGTCTCCCAACGGGATCTCTTCTTGACCGCGCCGGCAAACGCCTCGCCGGACCAGATCCGGGCCTTTCACGACCTGATCGACCTGCTCGCCCACATCGCCGACTGCTACCCCGAGGCCCTGCGCAGCTTCCCGGACGACCTGGCCGCCATCCTGACCCAGCACCATGCCGTGCTGCACCCGGAGCTGCGTGACAAGATTGTCGGCAGCTTCGGCCTGTTGCGCCGCAAAGACATCCTGGACTCGCCCGCCTTCGCCCGCACCCTCTTCCCCATCCTCGTCCACACGCCCAGCAAGACACTGCGCACGCTGCTGTTCCGCCGCATCGTCTCGGACCTGCGCAACGCCAACAGCCGCACCAAGAACCACAAGCTCAACCGCACCGTGCAGACCGTCCTGTTCAACCTCGTCACGTCCGACCGCACGTCGGCCCGGCCCATCTGGGCCGTCAAGATCACACGCGAGCTGTGGACCCGCCAGATCTGGGTCGACGAGCGGCCCGTGGAGGTCATGCGCGAGGCCTGCCTGGGCGACAACGAAAAGGTGGTCGTGTCGGCCGTGCGCTTCTTTCTGGGCGGCGACAAGGCGCGCGAGGAGCTCGAGGACGACAGCAGTGACGACGAAAAGGGCAAGAACAAGTACGGCGGTGTGCTGGGCGGCGGCGCAGGCGGACCTGTGGATCTCCAGAAGATGAAGCAGGGCAGTCTGCACAGCAAGAAGACCAAGAAGACGGCCAAGCGCCTGGAGCGGGCCGTCGACAAGGTCAAGAAGATGGAGCGCAAAAAGCAACAGCCACAAATGCTCAACTTTTCTGCTCTGGTGAGTCTTTTTTCTTTGTTTGTCTTGCATGGCCATCTGCTCCTTACCTTCTATTTTTATCTTTTTTTTTGTTTTTGTCCCCTTCCTTACCTTTTTCGTCACTCCTCCGGGCCGGTTCCGATTTTGTGCCCATTTTTGCGCATATTGTTTTAGGTGGCAGTCCTGCTATTTTGTCTTTTCTTTCTCATCTGCCTTGTTCTATGAGTGGTTACCTCCAAGTTAGTTAGGCCTGAATGGGGCTTCCTTTGGCGATGCGAGTAACACTGGTTGCAACGTTTTTATTTATTTGTTTTTTATTTTTATTCTTATTTTTTTTTCGGGGGAAGAGGGAGGGGCGCTTGGGTCGCATGGAGCACGGACAGGGCGAGCACAGGGCAGAGACAACGGACTACTTGGTGCCCCCACCCCTTCCAGCTCACTCTCACTCTCACTCTGTCGACCACTCTGATTTACAAGCAACTAATGTTCATTTTTGTGCAGCATCTTCTCCACGCACCGCATGATTTTGCCGAGGCCCTGTTCACGCGCCATCTGCAGTCGTCCAAGTGCAAGTTTTCGCTGGACAGCAAGCTGCAGATTCTCCAGCTCGTAACGCGCTTGCATGGCCTCCACAAGCTCATTATCCTTCCGCTTTTCAGCTGGTTTACCAAGTACCTGACACCTCGTCAAACATCCGTAACAACTTTCCTGGCGTCGCTAGCACAGGCGGTCCACGACCAGGTGCCACCGGATGCCCTGGAACCCTTATTGGCCAAAATTGCCAATGAGTTCGTGTCGGAGGCTTCTGCGGCCGAAGTGGCCTCGGCCGGTCTGACGGCGATCCGCGAAGTCTGTCTGCGGCAGCCGCTCGCCATGAACGAGACCCTACTACAGGACCTCGTGCTTCTGCGCAAGAGCAAGGACAAGAGCGTCATGATGGCCGCGCGCGGCCTGCTGTCTCTGTTCCGGGTTGTGGGCGCCGAGATGCTGGCGAAGAAGGACCGCGGAAAGGAGGCGACCATGGGCCTGCGGAGCGGTGAGATGCACCTACGCAAGTTCGGTGAGGAGGCCACGGGTGGCGGCATAGAGGGCATTGAACTGCTGGAGGAGTGGAAGAAGGCCGAAAAGAAGCGGAAGCGCGCAGCTGAGCGGGCCGAGAATGGCGAAGAGGACGAGGGAGACAACGACGACGACGACGATGATGACGACGAAGATGAAGACGACTCGGACAACTCCAGCGAGTGGGACATGTCAGACCACAGCGACGACTCGGGCGGCTGGATCGATGTCAGCGAGGACGAGGCCCCTGCTAAGCTGCCGCCGATGAAGAAGCAGCGCAAGGGTAAGAAGAGCGCCGATGCCGACGGCGACGAGGAGGACGCTGAAGAGGTGGGGAGCGGCGAGGACGGCGATGAAGACAATGATGCCGACAGCGAGGAAGACGACGCACCCAAGGAGGCGGCCATTTCCAAGCTCGCTACGACGACGGTGCTGACGCCCGCGGATCTGGCCAAGCTGCGCGAGCTGCGCATGGAGGCCAGCGTGGAGAAGGCGCTGGGCAGCAAGGCGGCGGCGACGGCCAGCCGCTACGCAAAGGCGGTGGCGGCGCGGCACGCAGATGACGGGCTGACGGCCGAGCAGATTGAGCTGGCGTCGACGCTGCGCAAGGCCACCAAGGAGGAGCGCATTGCCAAGGCGCAGGAGGGCAAGCCGTCACGCGAGTCGCACCAGTCGGTGCAGGCGCAGCGCAAGGCCAAGAAGGTGGCCGAGGGCAAGTCGCTGACCAACCAGGAAAAGGCGCGCAAGAAGAACATTTTTATGACCATGGGCAAGGCGCGTGCCAAGAACCGCCGCAGTCTTGTCGAGACGCGCAAGGCACTGCAAGCCCACGTATCACGCTCGAAGCGCGGCGGCCGCCGAGGCAACTTGGGCTAGGCGGCACGAAACGCACGATGGTGCAACTACATGTACACTTCATCAAGGATACCTCAAAATGGGGAGCCGTTGGAGGGGGCTTCCATGCCGCCCTGTACGGACGTGGCTATAGAACAGAGCTTATCCCATCACCTCTGTGCAGACAACGTTAGGTGCGCGGGCGACGGCCGCGAATGCAAAGCGGCGTGTTTCATTCTGGCGTTTATATGAGTTCTTTCCTACCTGCGTCTGATTCTTCTTTCATTGTTGTTCATTTCTATTTTTGGGAGTTGTGACTTATGTTTGTTATATCTATCTGCGATGTTCCCACGAATGTCTGTTTATCCGTTTGCCATTGTTGCCGTATTTTTGTTCTTTGCAGTCACAAGGTTGTCATTTGTGCTGGAGCAATTGAATTAATACGAAGACTAACCTGCGACAGATGAGACGAGGGAATGGCCAGAAAGTACAACGAACGAGTGCCCCGAGATCGACGGACGCCAAGAGACAGATCAGTCCACATCTTGGGCCGCAAGACGCGCATCGGCAGCTGCAGAATTAGACAGTGGAAAGGAAAGGGTCCCGCGGGTCACCAAGGAAGGGGTCGGTGCAATGCAGACTCTGAATGTGACACCATTAAGACACGAGCGAATAAGCCAAGGCATCAAGAGTGATAGCTGCTGCCCGTTTTGAAGATTCTCATCGCCATTATGTCCCACATCTAGGCTGATACGGAATGGGATGTAAGGCGATAAACAACTGCAGACGATGCATATACGGGGATGAGAGACAAGGGGAGATGAACCGGGGACGGTGGCCGTGGCCGGGCCTTGCCCTTATCTTACAACACCATATATCCCGCGGTCCTTTCCAAGGGCAAGAGAAGAGGGCACAATGAGACGCCAAGTGAGCCAAGAACTCGAGCTCGTCCAAGTTGGTGCGATGTGGCCACATGCCGGAGACGCTGTCGTGAGCGAGGGCGACAAATGGACGATATGAAGCGCAGAACAACAGCGGACGAAACCTATCCTCGGGAGAGACCCCGAGAAATGTGATGCGCAATAGGCTGTCGACTACAGAGCGGGACGACAGGCGCAAATAAGGCATACCAATGCTTGTATGCCACTAAGCTATGGCCGGCACGAAATTCAGCGAACACCTGTAGCGACAGGAGACCAACAGAGCGTCAGGGACCGGGTGGTGGACAACCTTGGGACTTGTGGATTTGTAAAGACACCCACGATACCAAATGCGACGGGTTCTTCGGTGTCCGATTGCTGCAATATACGCCGAGCTCTTCCTCAGCAAGGAGGCGCCAAGGCCTAAAAGACGGGCCGACAACCAGGTCTGGCCAAGAGAGAGCTCGTGTTAAACGAAATAACGTCGTTTCGAATGGAGAACAGAGCGTGAACGCGAACGGGTAATGCACGTCGTACTGCCGGATGTCAAACAATTCACTGCCGAGCGACCAGATGGCGGCCAGTCCAGGAGACCCTGGCGTGGTTCAACGGTATTGCCCGTGCGGGAGACATTGTTGTCAGAGGCAAAAGGACAAGTTGGGCGCGAAACAAAGGATACAAGGCTAGACACGAAACTAGCCATAAGCCTTGGAGGTCCAGAGCATCATAGCGTCCGTTCGTCACCTGCATCGCCGTCCAGATGAGGCCTGTGCTTGGAGTGTTTGATGTACCCAATGTCCTCTTACTGGACGTATTTCGTGTGCAGAAAGTAAGATACAGTCTTTCCTTCGCGTGGCCCTTTTTATATTCTACCTTCTTCGACATACGCCGGTGAAGCCAGATACGTCGTGCGGAATACGATGTACATTTTTCTTTCTCCGTTCCCCGGCTCCCAGAGGCAAGTTCGCTTGGTCTTCAGGACCTTCCAGTACGAGCCGTACGGACCTTAGTCCTGACTCTCGTCCTGCTTGGGCTTGTCGTGCCTTTTTCCACTTTGCTGGACGCCGGTCAAACTAAGAGGTAGAGATCCAATAATTTAGTATACCACTGGGGCCCATACTTGGAAACCGGAAATTACAGAACGACAAATCGAAGGGATTCGAGAGAGCGAAGTGGGAAGGGAAGACGCGGAAGATGGTCGATTTGTTAGTTGTGGATTCATGTATAGGTAGCCAACATCTGCTCAGCGGTCCTTGGAATCAGAAGGGAGTGTAATCACAAGAGCAGAACCAAGCGTCGTATGGCTTTCATTGTTCAAAAGTGCATCTGTATCTCCATTGCTCTCTGGAGCTGTGGGTTTTGGACTTAGCCCTCTTTCTGAATATGTATCATTACGCCGATTTTTGCCCAGTTCAGCTGTCCTCCCCTCGCATGCCAACTGAACACCGCCAAGGTCGTCGTAGGTCCTGTGCAGGTCCTGTGCATGGGAGCGAGAGATCCGCTATCCATCTCGTTTCTTTTTGGTAGTATTGCTTACATGTACGTCGTAGTACATTTCAAGCTACGGCGGTCGTGTGCTAATGACCTTTTGGAGGCGCCACATCCGATGTTCTGCCAGACCTCATCACAAACACAGGGGACTTCAGCGAGCCATGGCCCGGGAGGGTTGCTCAGTGCCAGATGGCATGAATGCGGTACCCGGAAATGGAGAGAAACGAGCGGAGTTTGGTCGATCCAGAGATTTGCTGATTGTGCGAAACGTGGTGAGAAGGGGGCTGAAGGTGGCAGATGTGCCGTTGGGAGAGACGATGATTATGGGCTCTGCGTGTGAGCTCTGAGAGGCACCAAACGGTCGAGACATTCAGAAACGTGGACATAAATTGATCAGTCAAACAAACCGACACAGAATGGTATCAATCGCAAGGCGGCGGTCAGCGCAGTGTCTCGCATCGCCAGACATTTGAGAAAACAGTCGAATTCGCAACGCCGAGCGAAAATATGTTGATGTAGTGGGCCTTCCCGTCGCTCTACTCGAAGCAAAACATCATTATGTAAACCGAAGATCGTCCTATAATCCATGGTGGCAAATTGAATAGACGCGATCCCGGAAACGAGTACCGAAAAACATGCAGGTCGCAAGACCGAAAGGCATACAGATTACGATCCAGGCACCGTCCCGAGTGTCATCGCGCGCGTCTCGCGTGAATTGTGGCTCATACGGCATCCGCGTTGGTTCAGCAGCGTTGTATACTGCAAGTGGTGAACGTCGGCGGCGAACGGCATCCGTATTGGCATTGTGGCGACGAATGGCACTGCTGAGCCTGTCGCTATGTGAGATACGCCGTGCTATTTCTATTCCGATACGTTAGTGTCACTATGGCTATACTGTCGCGATGAGGATGACGCTGGCAGAAAAGGCCGGTGGCAGATGATGGGAACTGGTGACGGCAAGAATCGCCCAGTATTGCGAAGCGTCGGGAATATTGCGGCTAGCAAGCCACCGATTCAGGGCGCATTGCGATTCGTTGGGCCGTTCCGAGACGTGGTCACCGTCGCGTCTCCGAAACCAACGTCTTGATGCTCGAAGGCGGGAAATGGGTTGGCTGGCGATATACAGACCAAGTCCGAGGCGGTTTCGCCCTGTGTCGGTCCGCACGTCCATCATTCGAGCTTACATGGTTGTCCCCTGATACTGATTGCTTCAGGGCACGGTCGCGGGTGCATCGCGGCATTTGTTGACATCGCCATACCGCATCCAAAGAGCTGCTGCATGTCGATGATACATTAAGTTATACACTCTAGCGCCATTTTCGTGCCACGTAGACGTTCCTATCAAGTAGTGGATCGTAAGTCATTCCCTTTTCGTGACATTCTAATGTCATGTTGTAAAACTTTGATGTGCCGCAAGTGGAAAGCCGGGATTCCCAAAGCCCAAAATGAACATTCCATGCTGCTTTTGACGAGAACATCGTCATCCCGTCGCCGTGATCTCGTCCCAGTGACGCGGTCCCAATGACCCAATCCCGCCACTTGCCAGAGAGAAACCTTCTCTGCGGATCCATCCCAAACCAATACGAATATGAAATACACGGAAAGACGAAAGCAAACAGAACAACAAAGGACACGAGTAGAGTCCACAGAACAAATCAGAGAAGCCATGCAGCAGACTCCGCCCGAGAAGTGACATGAAGAGAGGACCAAAAAATAAAGAACAGAATGCAACGCCGAGGATATCCCGAAATGATAGCAAATGTAAAATGCGACATGCAACGTGTAGCATGCGATGGGTGCCGTGCGATGTGCCGCGGGTGAGAGATGAGAAATGACGAGACGCACAACGGGTCAAAACAGCCCAGCGCCCACATCTCAGTTCCACCGGTTCCGCGTCCAGTCGTAGACCGTCTCCAAGTAGTCGGACCACGATTCGCCGGACAGCGTGGGCACGTCGGAAATGCGCTTGCCCGTGATCTCGTCCGCGCCCAGGAACGCCAGGTCCATCTCGCCCGCAAATTTGGTGTAGTGCTTGTTTGTGAACTTGAGCGTGCCCCGGTGCTCGCCCGTCTGCATGTTGTTGTCCACAAGGCCACGGCCGCGCCAGCGCACGTAAAACTTGAGTGGCGGCCGCCCGCTGATCACCGCCATCGGCGTCGTCGGTGTGCTCGGCGTCTCGGGCGCCGTGGCGCTGCGCACCGGTGTACCCTGGTGGCCTGGGTGCTGTCCTCCGGGGCTGCCGTGCATGCCGCCCAGGCCGCCGCCGCCGACAAGAGCACCGAGGCCGCCGAGGTTGCCCGGCATGGTGGGAGGTGGCATCCCAGGCATGCCGGGCATCCCGCCCATGGGCTGCATCCCGGCAACGGGTGCCAGGCCCTGGCCGGGGCCTCCTTGTGGGTGTTGTTGCTGATGTTGTGGATGCTGCGGATGCTGTGGCGTCGCACCGGGACCCATCCGTGCCTTCTTGCCGGATGCCATCTGCTGCTGGACATCGCTGTGTCGGCCCGCGCCGTTCGGGGGCTGCTTGCGCTTGCCCGCCGCCGACAGGTCGTCGCCAGCCCGCCGGTCCGGGTCGTCGCCCGCGTCGAGGCGCCGCACATGGCTCGTCAACTGCTTCTCGTCGGCCGACAGGATCATGACGCCGAGGACAACGCCAAAGTGGAAGGTCGCCTTGTAGACGCCCGGGGTCGACGTGGCCGCCACGTCGAGCGTCAGCGTGCCGTTGACCGACCACTGGTCCTGGATCTCCTTGCTCGTGATGACGTAGGCGCCGGCAATCGTGGCCGGCAGCAGGTCTTCGGGCTTGCGCGTGCTGCCCTTGGGCCGGCCACGCGGCCGCTGGGCATTGGGGTCCCGGCGCGCGTCCCACTCGGCCACCATTTCGTCGCGCAGGGTCTCGACATCAGGCGTCATCTTCCGGAACTGCACGACAAAAACACAGTCTGTTAGTACAGCTGCGCAACTCGTACGTCATAGACGCTCGCAAGGAAGCAAAAGGGCATCCAACGTGTCACTTACATTCCCAGCTGTCACCTGCTCGCGGAAAATGGCCATCACCTCGTCCGACGACGATTGATACGGCGGGGGAATGCCGTAGAAGCGGAACTGTGCCAGCATAAACTTTCGTGACAGCGTCCGTGCCGCCTCCATGTCCGTGATCTTCTCCATCTTGGGGGGCCGGCCTCGGCCGAGCTTGATCTTCCACTTGTCCGGCTCGCTGGGGTAGCAAAGCCGCAGCAAATGCTGTGGCCGCTCAAAGGCGACGCCGTCAATTGTCGAGAACGTGCCGTCGTACTGGAACCCGTTGCGCCGGATGGGTTCCGGCTTGACCGCGGCCGGTGCCTGCACCGTCGGCGGTGGTATCGGCGTTTCCATGCTGGCCCTGGAGCTCGAGCTCGAGCTCTCTTCTTGTGTTGTTTTTTTCTGTTTTCGGCTAAAACGTCAAGCTTCCAACCCTTGTCGCGCGTCGGCAGCGACAAACGGGGAGGGGCGACAATTGCAGGATGGGATGTCGACGGGGACGACGTCGGCAGGAGGCTCGAGTCTCCGCGCAGTCAATTGCCGAGCGGAAATGGCGAGGGGCTGCCCAGAACGCGATCAGCAATATCACAATACAACAAAAATAAACTTTCAAGATGCCGAAGCTGCAGTTGCTTTTTTCGATTTATTCTTTTTTGTCTTTTTTTTGCTGCAAAAAATAATGACGAAAAAGTCGGGGGCTTCTAACAAGAACGATGGGGGAGAAAAGGAAAGAGCGTTGGGTGATGGGACTAAAAAAAAAGTGATAAAAAATTGCGAAAAAGGGCGGGAGAGGAGAAGCTGGAAAAAAAAATCGAAAAATGGAACCAGCCCCCAGGAGAAAGGGGGCCCGGAGGGAAGGAGCCAACAGCAACCTTACAAAAAGTGGGTCCATTGGAGCTTTGGGTTCACCAAAAGGCTCGCCGAGCCACTCAATTGTTAAAATGAGCGCACGGCAGATGAGTTTGTATCACTGCGAGTGGGTGAACGAATGGTCCAGCTCGCCGCGGTTTGGCGAGACACGGCAACGAATAGATTGCGTGGAGAGCAATACGGACAACATACAGAACACGCAGAAGGCAATTGCCAGCTGAATGGACAGCGGCAAGGTCACACGACTTGCACTTGCCGTTTGCTGTGTTTTCATTAATCAGTCAGGGTGCGTGTGTCAAGCAGAGAAGGAGCGGATGCGATAGTGTATGCGACAAAGCAGTCGACAAGGCGGCTCCTTCTCTTGCAGCTCGCATATCTACATCTCTCCTCCTTCTTCAGACCGCACCTTTCGATATCACGTGGTGGCCTGCTTCTTTATCCATCTCACCGACAGCTTCAGTCGACATCATTCGTATGGGTAAGAGACAATTTTACTTTTGAAATTCTGTGTGCCCTTTTGAACGCGTCTCGCGGTGTGCATGGGTTGCGTATGTGCTTTTAATTCATTTTTTTTTTTTTTTTAAACTTTTTTAATAAATTTTTGTCATTGTTCTTGAACTTTGGACAATATTTGGACAATATTTATATAACAATTATCCACAACAATACGAAACTTGACATAATATTCGAGAATGAAAATAGGAACAAATGTGAAAAGAAACCCTGATCAAAACACTGTGGACAATACCTAATCCCACATCATAAAGTACAGCAGATATCGAAACTAACAAATCATCTGCTGACAGTCACGTCTCAAAATGGACCGGGCACACAGTTTACCACTGCATTAACTCATCACATTTCCAACGACATCATACGCTTCTGCTGGGCCGCCTCATAAACGTGCTCGATATCTCGGCCACTGCAGAAATATCCATGTCGAGAATATGCAACTTGAGTCAACATCTCCAAACCTTTAACGCTAGAGCACGTGTTTCTCAATGGTATTGATTTTTGCTTGTTTCACTCCATGGCAGACTTTGTAGAGTAGGAGCGCCTTCTGGGAGGCCGCCAGTTTACATCAGCAAGTATATCTTACAAGCATCAGATAACGGCGATGAGGAGCCCCGTAAAGACACGCCAGAGTCTGCCTTGTTGCTACTCGTAATAGCCTGGGGGTGTAGCAACGCGGGACTCGACTTACGTACTCCTTTTGACGACGACGTTGCAAGGAGCATCCACGCCATTCTCGGGCATAAGCATCTCATTCTAAGTGTTTGGTAGCCCGCCGACAGGGGACTGCTATTTTCACGGCTATGCTTCCGTATACGGAAACAAGCCGGGGAAGGGGGTGTTTGTCGTCCTGTTTGACTCTGTGTGCTCACAGAGTGTGGGTACGGAGGACTGTGCCTTGGGTCAACAGTCGAGCACGCTATGAGAACTGGTTACCACTGAGCAAGAAAGGGCGGAGAAAGCTAGGAAGGCTTGGGGATGGGAGGCTTGGATAAAATGGCTTGGACTGCACAAGATCCAAAATACGACGTGTTACGGAGGAGTTTTGCTGTGCGTTTCCACCTCTCTTGTTGGGGGCGGCTAGGCAGCAGAATTCTCGATTCCATTTCCGGTTTTTTGCGGACTGGCTGCTGATGCCAATGCTTCGGGCGTTCCCTCTATTTTTAGAGAGGGGCTTCGGCCATAAGAATGTGCTAGTTCGGGCTTTGCGACTTTGTCAACAGGGATCAACAAACAAGGACCAGGTGCTGAAGGCGCTACCTCACGACGTCGAGTCGTTTGCATTTACGGTGGACCCTTTTCTTCGTGTTTCAAAGGTCAAGATTCAAGATGGACGGCAATTGTAAACAAGTATAAATAAAAGGACGAGACGGTAACAAAAAAAAAAAGGAACCGCCGAGACACAAACAGTTATTCAGCATGACATCCACTGATTCAGGCGGGAGGTGAAATAAGCTTGACTCTTTGCTCTGGCTCTAGAAGTCGAGAAACGAGGAAATTGGTCACAATTGGCGCCTGTATGGTGCATCTTATTCTGGGCACTCTGGGTCTTCCGTAGAAGAGAAAGCGAAAATCCGCTCAGTCCATTGGACACGGAAATACGTTTGAATATTACGTGGGCACTAGAAGGTCAGAATTCAGGGGTGAAACGACTTGACCAGGGGGAGCAAATTCTGGGATTTTCTTGTCGTTTATGGTGTACATGTACGATTCAGAGACGGTTTGCCGGCAGGGGGGACAGACACCTCCTGACACCGTTCTAGTTTACGCCGATTCACTGTGACTTACAGGCCAGAGGTAGGGACATCTTTTCGCAGGGCATCCTTGGCGTATCCGATCTGTCTCATAATTTTGATACTCGCTGCTTCGGCGAGGGCAGTATCGAGTGTGTTCTTTTTGCTCATGACGAGGATCGAAAATGGCCTTCCAAGACGTGCGTGAGGGCATTGGCAACGTGTCCGGTCGTCCGTCACTCGGATTATCTGTAGAGGCCGGAACGAATACCGTATTACAACAAGAAAACTCAGCAAAAAAGGACGCGAGGACCATTCCAGCTCCATAGCTACGACGGGTGGTGAGAGATTGTAAAGGCAGTGCTTTTATGTGCTTGCTGTTGGTAGCTCCACTCCGACGATTTTGCTGCGAGCGGATGCATTCAATGAGTGGGTGTCCTGAACTGCTCTGGAGTTTCCACCAGGCACGGCGATAAAATCCGCACTAGTAGGTCTCGCCCTGCTGCTCTTTCCCTTTCTGCTCAACCTGCCCGTCGCTCTCGGAAATACGGAGTACCACTCGGACTAGTGGTCTGGGAGACTCCGCCCTGGCGCGGATCACCCCTGCTTTGGCACGGACTTTACATCGGCATTTACCGCGTGGCTCTGACAGAGGTTTGTTGTTGTGGCAGGAGCGATGGAGGTCAGCACCAAGATGAAGAAAAGAAAGACATACGCTCAAGTGACAAAGAAGGCTCACGAACTGGCCGTTTCAAACATTGGCAACGCGGTGCCGAGTACTGGTGCCAGACAGACCTGGCATCTCACCTGTCTTACGACGTCGTTGCCCAATCTCTTGTCTGCTGCCAGCGGGGTGGCTGTGCAACGCTGCTCATTTTACGTTACGACCGCGTTTGCAATAAACTCCACTGCTTTGCTAGGATGCGGCAGTACTTGACTCAGCTGGATCGCTACAGGTGCAAATGTTTCATATTGCCATCTTACTTGCCCAGTTTGACAAGCTTAAGCATGTACGGGCGTCGGGGCCCTTCCCATTACCAACTACTTCAGTACCAGTTTTCTTTCCTTGTCTGTGTTCATGGTAATTTACGAGTCTCTATTTGTGTCCTGCTCAGAGTTCCTAGGGTGATTTTGACAATGGTACTCCGTACTGTATGCCGTATATGTTAAATTGCCACCAAGAACTTCGGCTGTAATAAAAAATACGGAGCAACAGTCCGGTGGGCAAATTGGTAGAAAGGGTACAAATTCACGCAACGAATTCAGGCGCGCCGCCGATGTACAAAAGTTATTCATTTGTGCCCGGCAAGGGACAGAGGACAAATTAGACAAACAGCGCAAACGCGTGTGGGCCGCTGGCTTAAAAGAGACGACAATAGCAGCAGTCAAGAGGAACGTGACTGCTGCGTCTGGGCATATCGCATAACATAGCACGATCGCAGTTTTCTGCCTTTCCTTTCAGCAACACCGAAACATATACGACGTACGTTTGGCCGTCCATAAGGCTTGACTTTGCCAAATGTTTTGTATTTCTGTTACACTACTTGATGCCCGTGACGTCTTCTTTTGCAGGGAAAAAAGTATCATCACGAAATATAAACCAAGATTGGCAGCCAGGGCTCACTTGACGTAGTCGCTCTCTAAATTGAACAGCCCTGGCCGGGATCAACGAGACTTCGATAACGGGCACGCAGTTTTGCCAGGTGAACTAGTCCACATGCAAGGGGTTCAATGATTCACCCCTCCTGCCTATCTCATAGGAACCTGGTGCAGTATCGATAAACAATTCTCGTCCTCGGCATTCATCTTCAAGAAACAGATGAAACAACCTAGAAAAGTGACGACGAAACCAAACAAGCAGGAAGCGTAGCGAAGAACCAATCCTGGCTTTCCAGGAGCACATCCGGCACATTTGTAAAAAAGGGGCAGTCTGGCGGATAAGGCCTCGTCATCCCCAGTGTCCCGTTGCTGGGTCGCTGTCGTCATTCGCCGACAATGGTCGACCGTTCCGCACGATGCGCCAAATGAGGTTGAGAATGAGGAGGTGGAAAAAGGGACTCGCGAGCGGAACAAGGTACATAATTCTGGCGGTACTTCCGTACTCCCCCAAGTACCCCGTATTCTGTCAGCCAGTCTATGTATCTCGTAAATGGGCACAGTCGGTGCTGGCGCCGATTCTCTCCCGATGCATTCGATTTGTGGTTGTGGGCACTCTCCGCATCTGTGCTTCTCTCATGCCCTATGGGGAAGCGAGAACGACACGGCAGTGCTGTTGATTGGCTGGATCGACACTGGCCGTACATTTGGCGCCATTTCGTGCATGTACTCTTCTGGTGTATGCTGCGCAAAAAGAGACTTGGCCTTTTAACCGTTGCCTAACGTCCTTGCTGCTATTTGGGGCTGTGAGCAAGAAAGACGATTAGGTGGGGCTCTGGGAGCAGCGAACCAAAGAGGAAAGGGCGCTCGCTGGGTAATGAGGAAAGAAGGACGCGTCATCAGCTTGTTTCCTCGCGCCCCTGGTCAGCCTGCATGCTGCACAGAAGGGCTCCTTCCGGTCGAAACTTCCCTGTCCTTCCCTCTCAGCCCTCGCTCCTCCCCTCTTCCCTGCACTTTCTACAGCACTCGCCGCCGCCTGCCGCCGCTGTCGTCCGCTGAAGGACTGCCTGGAACAGTAATTTTCACTGGTCGCGCCTCCTCTGCCAGCCGTCGGCCTTTGGCAATTGTCCGTCGGCGTCAATCTGTTCTTTACTTCCGTTCCTGCCCCAGGCCCAGCCCATTCGTTCTCGTTCCCTCGCCTTCCCCCGACTGCTCCACAGCCTCCGACACACCCCTCTGGCCAAGCCAGGCATCCAGTTCCCCCAAACGACTCTCCTGTTTCTCTTTTTCCTCACAGAATCGCTGCACGGCCCTGTTCGCACCCACTTCCATCCATTTCTGCCGGCCCAACTACTCTTTTGCATTGTCCCGTATCCTCTTTTCATCCTCCATCAACCCATTCTCCTTGTTCTGTTTCTGTTTCCTTCCCTTTTCCGTTTCCTTTCATCACTCTCCCATCTACTTTCTCCATTTCCATATTCGCATTAATTCGTACGGCGATTCGTACTCTTGTTTTCTTAACTGCCGACGACAAGCAGGCTCCGAATCATCGTGGCTTTATCTTCGTACGGCTTCTACCCTCGACGGCAACGCCAGTGATTCTATTTCGACTTGAGGATCGTTGTGAAACGACCTCGCAGCCTCCCCGATTGACGACGCGCTTTCGCTACTTCCTGTCACCGTCTTCCCTTGTCGTCTTCGCCTGGAGCAACAATGAGCATTAAACAGGAAGCCGACGCACACAGCAACTCGATGGCCGACAACATGTCATCGGCCGCTTCCGCCTCGGGCCAGCAGGGCATGATGGACCCCATCGACTCGCTCCTTGACCTGTCCGAGTACGACAACGCCAACCAGTTCAACTCGCCCGCCCTGTCGACGGCAACGTCCAAGAACTCTTTTGCTCGCACCACCGCGGCCTCGACGCCGTCTTCGATGCTGTCTACCAGCCAACAGATGACCGGCCCGAGCCATCAGTATGACCAGTACAAGCAGCAGACCGGCTTCGTCCCGGGAGCCCTGGCCAACACGTTTGCCGTGACACAGAACAGCAACCCTCAGATGGTTGGTTACAACAACGGCTTCGACATGAACTTTATCAACATGAACAGCGCCGACGACATGTTCGACTTCAACACTGCGCCCAACGGTGCCTCCGTCAGCCCCTCGGACATTGACCTCGAGTTCGAGTCGCCCACCGCCGATCCGTCCTTTTTCTTCGCTGAGCAGCAGATTCCCTCCGCTCCGGCCTCTGTCATCGTCCAGACCCAGGAGATGCAGTCGCCCCCTGTCGTCGCTGCCAACGGCGGTGGCTCGCAGGCTGGCAGCGTCGGCCGTCTGTGGCCTGGCATGCACCAGCAGGCCGCCATGGCCAAGGCCCAGGCCCAGCAGCGCCAGCAGCAGCAGGTCATCCAGCAGCAGCAGCAGCGCCAGCGCCAGAGCGTGTCGAGCCAGGGCCAGATGAAGCCCGAGCAGCAGCCGATGCCGCAACCTCAGTCCCAGCGGGCCAAGGCTGGCCAGCCGTCGGACCCCATTGTTGAGCAGAAGATCACCCAGCTGCTGAGCTCTATGCGCGCTAAGCCGTCTTCGCCCAACGGGTCGATGGGCGGCATGGGCAACATCTCCCGTCTCAAGAAGGATGAGGAGGACATGGATGAGGACGAGCGCCTGCTCGCGAGTGAGGAGGGAAAGAAGCTGAGTAGCAAGGAGCGCCGCCAGCTCCGCAACAAGGTGTCGGCGCGCGCATTCCGGTCCCGCAGAAAGGGTAAGTTGCACGCCCGACGAATTTCGTGATGCACACGTTTGGATACGATATGCTAACTGAACAACAGAATATATCTCGCAGCTTGAGGCGGAGATTGCTGGCAAGGTCACCGAGAACGGCGACCTCCGTGCCCAGAACCGTCTGCTCGCCGAGGAGAACAAGCGCCTGTCGGATCTGACCCGCATGCTGCTTGGCTCGCCGTCGTTCTCAGACTTCCTGGACCGCCTCAGCGCCAACCCCGCCCTTGTCCCGCAGAACCAGGCCCAGGCTCAGTCCCAGGCTGTCCAGGCCCAGGTTTCCTCCCAGGTTTCCACGCAGGTTGCGTCCCAGGACCAGGAGCGCCAGCCCCCCAAAGATGCCAACCCGTATGCGGCGCAGCAGCAGATCGGTATGGCCATGATCCCGGAGCAGAACATTGACTTCTCGATGCTGCACATGGATGCCGAGCCCGCCTTTGCCTTCCAGCCCCAGGTGTACGCCGTCCTCGAGACGCCCGACGTCACCATCCCCTCGATCGACACGTCGGTCCTAACGGGCAAGCTGTCCAACTTTGTCGGCTGCGAGGACGAGGAAGAGAAGGTGGAGATGCCCATCATTGCGCACCCCGTCACCGACAAGGTCGCCGAGCTCGTCCCATCCGTTGCTCCTGCGGCCGCGGATGCCGCGTTCGACAACGACCCGGCCTTTGCGCTGTACCACGACGCTGCCGTTTCGACTGCCTCGACCGCTTTTGGCCCCGCCGACGCGCCCGCTGCGGCTAGCAAGCCCCTTTCGCTCAACACCGAGGTGATGTCGGATGTTGACAGCATCTTTGGCGGTGTCGAGACGGAGAAGGCTCTGTCCCGTTACGAGCTCGTCGGTGCCGCGTCCGAGGAGGAGGAGGAGGCGGAGATCATGACCGAAGCCGAGGAGTCCCTGGCCCTGGCCCGGATAGCACGGATCGCCCGCAGCATCCAAACGACCGCATCAAGGCTTGACAGGCTGAACGCCGAGTAAACCGAGACTCTTTCGTTTTGTGTTTTGTGTTTGCAACGTTTCTTCGGGTTTGGCATGGTCATGTTTTGCTTTTGCTGTAACGTCAAGCAGCGTCGGCGTTTCGATACTTTTCTTTTGGGTTTCCATCTCCTTGCAACACTGCCTCCACCGTCGTGGCCTCAGTCACCGAAGTTGAGGTCGACATAGACCGGCTCCGCAGCTCCTATTTTCCTTTGTCTGAGCCCTCCTGCTTTCTTGCATACCGATGGGACGACACGTCCCTCTCCCCACCCCATTTCGTTGTACAAAGTCATTTGGTTTGATTCTGTTGCCCGGCGTCGTTGATTCAAGGAAATTAGGTCGGATATGATTCTCGGGATAGGCTTTTGCATTTGTGTTTTTTTTTCTTGTATCCTCCGCTGCCGATGCATTTTCTTACGTGTTATCGTTTCTTGCTATTTTATCCTTGCTCATGTTTGTGGTGGCTTGGCTGCCAACGGGGGGCTGTCTCCTACTGGCAGAACCGTACCCATTTACTGTTCGAATTGATGATGATGACATTTTTCAAAGACACGACATGCTCCAAGTTTGCGTGATAGCAATATATACTCCGTACAGTGACAATACAAATCCGTCTAGCTATACTGCACTTAATTATGTTCCTGCGTTGTGATGGACTGTGCATTTATGAAGTTGTCATCTTGATGGAAAGCCATGCTTATGGCTGTGACGTCAATTTGTTGAGATTATGAAATAATCAATTAAGACGAGCGCTTGAATAACATTAATACACCTTGGCAACGGCTAAGGGCAGACGGGCCATGTACCTTTACAGTACTAAAAGCACCAAAAAGGTACATCAGCAATGATAACCGGCGCCATGCCAGTGTCACCGTTAGGGCAGCGGAAAGGCCAACAATAAACGTGCTGATTGGATTCCAGTCGAACTCATGTCGCGCTTCAACGCATCACGGAAATGCGCCGTCCAAATTCGTAAAGATAATGCTACATAAGTTGCATCGTTTCCATCTTTTGCAGAAACGCATTTTGACGTCTTTTGGGTGGCGCATTGAATGGACGCATTTGGCTTCCCTTTCCAATTGGGTGGCGCCATTGACCTGGCAACGGTTGGTGAGGTAAACAATCGCCTGCAACCACCACCACCAGCGCCACAAAGGGCCCTGTAACTACGAGCCCATGGCCCAGTTTGGAACATTATGCACGAGCCAAAGAAAACAGAACAAGGAAAGAGCGACAGAGCCTTCTACGTCGTTGGGCTACCTGCCCCCTAAGTGCACCTGAGCTACGTTCGTCCAATCTATTTTTTTGTTACGGCTTCTCATCTCCAGTCTGTTTGTTCTTTGTCCTTGAACCTCACCAGATACCCTTACTGCTTTTTGCGTCAACAACACTTCACATCCCGTTCTTTGCTTGTTTTGCATTTTCCGTTGCCAGAGCGCAGAGACACAGTAAGACACCATAAGAAATCGAAACGACCTTCATCTTGCCTCGACCAGACCAGCGACATAATACCCCTGTTCTTTTCTACCCTCTTTCTCGCCAGCCTGCTGTTTCTTCCCACCTCGATCTGGGCTTCAACATTCATATCACACACAGCGCACATGGCCGACGACATCGTCCTCGCCGACGACATCACCGGCCACGAGGAGGGAGTGACGGAGGACATCATTCTCGACACGCCGGCCGCCGAAGAGACGGCACGCAAAGAGGCACAAGAAGACAACGCCACCTTTAGCAACAGCCACGGCGTGGCCAATGTTGTTGCAGCCATCGATGCTTTCCTTTCCGACCCGAACGACTTGGGTGAGGAGAGCCACGAGCCGAGCGTTTGTCAGAGCCACTGCGACGAGCACGACACCTACGAAAAACAGAGCATGCAGGCAAAAGATGATTTCGAGGCTGATGAAGCAACGGCACCAAAAGTCGACGAGGGAGGCGCAAATAAAGGTGCAGAAGCACGCGCCGGAGAAGCCACAGACGATGATGTGGCACGGGAAGCTGAAGAGCAGGCGACGCTTGAATGCGGTCAAATGCACGAAGAGGAACATAACGAGGTGGATGAAGAGGAGGAGCATGATAAGTTTCATATTATTGACGCTTCAGAAGACACTGCAAGGCCCCGCGATGAGACGTTGTCTCAGCATACCATAGAGGACTGTGACGCCACAGACCTCGAACGGGAGGAGAACGAGGGCGAGGAGGATTCTGAGGCCCCTGGCGTCGTCGAGCATGATGAGGCAGACGTGTCCATTGCGGCATCCGCACTCTCTCATGGCGAAGAGTTGAATGCCGAGTTCCACGATGAAGCTGTGGGCCACGAGGACGTGCACGTGGAGCATAGCACACGCCCTGACAACATGGACGAAAACGAACATACGTCGCGCCGCAGCTCGGCATTTTCGGCACGGTCGGCTGTCTCGGACCGGCGTACATCAATGCGCACCGAAGCTCTGATCCAGGCTGCAGCACGGGCTGTTGTGGCCAAAATCAATGAGAAGGATGCCGCAGGCGGCCATTTCGACATCGCAAGGGCCATGTCGGAGTCTCACGATAGCATCGTTGAAGACGCCGACCACGACACGACGACGGACGAAGAGGGCGAGAATGACCACGAAGGTGATGCTGAACGCGACGACGACGATGTGTTTAGCGACCGCAGTCCACGCAGCTCACTGGGGTCGTTTGAGCACCACAGCGGCGCCAGCAACAACGGCATCGATGAAGGGCCAGAAGCACACCAGAAGATGGACCTTCACAGCACGGTCGAAGACGCCACCGACGACCACGAGAGCCAGGATGAGTACGCCTACGCAGAGGACACTGGAAGTGTCGCATACCATCGCGGGACCAGTCACTACTCACCGCGTATGTCTGGCGTGTCTGGAATTTCTCGCATGTCCCAGTACGAGCAACAGCACGAAGACGATGAAGAGGAGTACAAACACGACGACGAATTTGTTCACCACACCATCCGTGGAACGCCTCGGGCCGCCTTCCGTACACCATCGTCTGTGCGGGCTATTCAGATGTCATCTCCTTCGCCCTCTGTTATTTACGGCGTATCTCCCCGATCGGCTGCCCGCCGCCGGCGCCTCGGTACAGGTAGTGGCCTGGATGACGGCCAGAGCATGGGCTCAGTTGGCACATATTCGTCACTGCCCGGATCACCGTCGAAAAGTCAGACCCCTACACGTTTTAAGGTGTTCCGCAAGCCGGAGCCAGCCCCGCTCGTTCTTCTTCACGCGACGCTCATGCCGACGCGCTGGGTGTGGTCGGATGTCTTAAGAACGCTCGACGAGGACATGGGCCACAACAAGAACGACGTGTCTCTCCATGACGGCGGTGACTTTGCAGCATGCTCGTTTGAGCCAAGTGCCGCGCTCAAGCGGCTCCATGGTGCATGGTGTCAACTGCAGGAGTACTCTCTTGGTACCGACACTGTGGCCGAGCGAGGTGTCTTGCTGCCTCACCCGCAGAACGACTACGAGGTGCTCGAAGAGAGACTGTTGGAGGCGCTGGAGCTGCCCGTCCGGCGGCGGGCCCGGATTCTTGAGTGCGGCCATTATCTGGGCCCGGCGGACGACGACGATGAAGATGAGTACGAGGATGAGGATGAGGGCGATGAGAGCGATGGCTATTACAACGACCACAAGGAAGAAGGTGAGGCCAACAAGCGCCATTGGTGCACGACGTGCCGGTCTGATATCCGTTATGAGTCGCTCGGTGCCGAGCGCGTTTTCCGCGTCAAGGTGTATGCTAGCAATGGCCTGATGGCGGTGGGTGCGTGGGCGGCTTGCTGGAGCGAGATGGAGCGTGTTGATGTGGAGATTGAGCCCATCGTGGCCGACGCAGCGCTTCTCCGCGAGCTTAACCAGCTTCGGAGCCTGCAGCAGAAAGAGGCGCTCCACAAGCAAGAGGCGGATGCCGCGGCCCAAGCAGCAATGGCGGAGAACGAGATCGACGAGGCGGACATGCACGGCGATGATTTGCTTGACGAGCCCGACGTGCACGACCTACACGAGGATCGTGAAGAGCACCAGCCCTTGGAAGCGCAGAAGGACATCTCGCAGTCCCCAGCCATGGCTGACCATTTCCACCTGTCACCCCCAAGCGTCATGGCCATGTCGCCACCGCTTCGCGATTCGCCGGTCGAGCCACCCGCACTTACCACCACGGACCGCACGTCCGATGCCAACCGCAGACGACGTGAAGCAGAGGATCGCTTGCGTGAGATTTATGGCCGGACACCGCCGCATACGGCGCTTGCAGGAGCGCCGACGTCGCCGTCACGCCACGTGGAGAGCACGCGGTTGTCCGATGTACCCGAAACAGTCGAAACCGCGGCCAGTCGAGACATGGGTGCCGGAGGTTCTCGGTACGGTCCATCGCCACCGTCGCCGAGTGCCGAGGCCTACAATCGGCGTGAAGAACGCCGGAGCCGCCAATCGTCAACTACCGACCGGGCCTTTGGCAACGACACGGAGGGTGCTGCGCCCCATGCCAGCCACCCCCATGCGCCGTACGAGTCAGCATCGCTGCCGGAGCTTCTGCTTGCAGCTATCCAGGTGTTTTTGCGCGACCGTAAGCACGTCGCCATAACGGTGCTGAGCGTCATTGTCATTGTGCTGGCCACGCTGCGGTCACCGGGCGCAGGCGACCATGGCATGCAAGCCGTTCAAGCACAGGTTCCTCCGGCTACAGACTATGGCTTCGCAGCGGTGGGAGAAGCCGGTGATGCCCGCATTGGCGTTGAACAAAAGGACGTCGAGGCGTCGTTGGCGGCCGAGGCCAACTCCGAATCAGCGTTTGCTGAGATGGTTAGCAGTGTCGGGTCGCCGGACTTTTTGGTCGAGACAGTCGTGGAGAAGATGACAGTCAAGGTGTACGAGACGGTGACTGAAACCGCAACAGAGACGGCCACGCAGACGACGGTGGCTACTGCTACGTCCGAGGCAACCGTTGATGGCTCGGCGATGGCGGAAACAGCGACGGTTGAGGCCATGGAATCTTCGGTCGAGTCGGCCCAGCTACCATCCGCCACGTTCATGTCAGCCGCTGCGATGTCTGCTAATACGAACGCAGCATCACTCTTTGCTGCGGCAGGTGTATCGACCTCGGCGGCCAACCCCACTGCTGATGCTGCGGAGGTGTACGACGAGCTGTGAAGCAAGTACAGAATTCACAGGGTGGTGGTCGATGGACAAGATGTTCCGAATAATACGAATTTGAGACGGACGGCCGCGTATATCTAGTTGGTTTATGACTTGTGTTGGCCTTTTTGCTCCTTTTGGTTTCTGTTTACTAGTTCCTGTTTGAGTTTTTCCGGTTTTGCTTTCCATTGCCTAGCCAGCTCGCGAGTTTGAGATTCTTTTTATATAGCAAATGCCAATATTACGATTGCAATTGACGCAAGATAAACGTTTTCGCCAACGTTGTAGCTTTATTTAATGAGTTCGTATGAATGTGAATTACCCAACGCCCAAACGTCCCCGTCGTGGATCCAATACGATGAAATAAAAAGCACATGACCGCTTCCAAAGTAGTATACAGTTCATTAAGAGAAGAACGGCGAGGCCCGAGGCTGCATATCGTCCAATGCCCGCCACGGTTTTTACCACTCTCGGGCCAGCGTCTTGACGGAGCCAATCATGAGGCTGACGACGATGCCCATGCTTACAAACATGCGCCAGCGTGGCGTCCACAGCCCCTCCTCGCGCATCAGCCAGCTCATGCTGCCGAGCGGAAACATGAAGCCAATGACCATGGCGCGCACCATGGTGTCCAGCATGTTGGGCAGGCCCGTGTCCTCGACAGGCGGCATGCCGTCGTCGCCGCCCGCGCCGCCGCCGCCACGGCCCAGCGCGGGCGCAGCGGCCGTGCCGTTGGCGTTCTGGTCATTGTCCAGCCAGTTGTCCTCCATGGTGCGCAGCGCGTCGGGCGACGGCATGGTGTCGGGCGTGAAGCGGTTGGACTGGATGGTGTTGAACTGCAGGCGCAGCTGGTTGACCTCGGCGGCGGTGAAGCCGGCTTGCAGCAGGCGCTCGAAGCCGCGCGGGGCCGGCGTGGTCGTTGTGCTGCGGCCGCCGTGGCCGGCGTGGCCCGCATGTGGCGGATGCTGTGTTTCCGAAGACGGCCCAGCATGGCTGTTGCCGTTGGTGCTGTTCCGGTTGCTGCTGTCGCCTCCGCCACCGCCACTCGCGCCCCGGCGGTGGGTGGGGTCGAGGCGCATGGCACCGCCCCGTGGCCCGGGCGTCGAGGGGCCGGTTATGCCGGATATGCCGGATATGCCGGATATGCCGGATATGCCAGATACGGCGGATGACCCGCCGCGGTTGTGGTGCAAGGCGGCTGCGGATGCGGCTGCGGCAACGGCTGCGGCATCGGCTTCGGCGGCGAGTTCGCTCTCGGGCAAAATGTCGCCGATGCTGCAGTTCACGTAGACCCGACCCACCACGCCCTCGACCGGCGACGCCGACGGTGGCGTATCCGTCCCTGCCCATGGCGCGGCGCCGCTGGTATTTGTGGACTGGTTGCCAACGGGCGTCGAGGCAGCGGAGGTCGACACCGAGGGCGAGCGGCCGGCGCGCGGAGGAGGCGGCACAGGACGCAGGACGTGGCCCAGGATCACGTCGTCGGCCAGGATCTTGCCGGCGTAGATGATGCGCAGGCGTCGGCGGTGGGCATCGTGGAGGGTGGGCGAGGAGGACGGGTGCTCGTTTTCTTTTCCCTTTTCTTTTCCTTTTGTGTTTCCTTTTTCGTCTGCTATTGCCTTGTTGTCAGCATCGGCCGCGGCGTGCACGAGCTGCTTGCGAATCAGCGTCTTGAGGCCAACGACGGTGACGCGGCCGGGGTCGGGTATGTCGATGTGAACGTCGGGGAGGGAGAGGAAGCGGGCGGTCAGGTGCAGTTGTGGCGTGCCGCCGAGACGTTGCGGATGTGGTTGCAATGGAGCGGAGAGAAAAGGAGACGATAACGATGATGATGATGCGACGGAGGGAAACGGCGACGAGCGGCCCGGCCGGCCAGCGGCTGCGCGGTCGTTGTCGTTCATTGCTGCGGCGGTACGTATGACGGCAGCAGGGCCCGGGATGCGAGGGCAATCATTGCGTGAGATGGCCGGCGTGTCGATGGAGGCAAATGCTGTTGGTGGGTTTTGATGTCGAAGAGGCTCTCTACAGTATGGAGAAGTTTGGCGTAGCGATCAACACAGCACGGATAGGGGAGCTGACAATGACAGCTTGGGCCATGTTGATTAGTCATTTTGGCGTGCCCGGTGGCCCGACTTGCGGAGGCAAGTGCAGCCCGCTAAACAGTCCCTGGGGCCCAGAAGGCAATGGCGTGCCAAACTGCAGGTACCTTAGCGCCGATGGCGGGGGAAGGAGCGAGGAAAAAGTGAAAAACAATGTCGGGCGATCAAACCAAAGAGACTCTGACTCAATCGACACAGCTATTTGACGGACCACATCGTACGACGCACGACGAGACGCCAACTCGGTGTACGACTTGAATACAAAAGCCATTGAGCCAACTGTACCCTCCTGACTACTGTCAATCACCTCAATTCTTCCATCCTCTCAACTCCCCAATTGCCGCAATGTCGACGTTCGGCGAGTACTTTCGAGTGACGACGTGAGTGCTGTCTACAAGCTGTCTACAAGCTGTTGCGTTGCCAAATTGCCAGCCTACTAACCGCCGTCTCGTGTCCAGGTATGGCGAGTCGCACTGCCGCTCGGTCGGCTGCATTGTCGACGGCTGCCCGCCGGGCATGCAGCTGACGGAAGACGACATCCAGCCGCAGATGGACCGGCGCCGGCCGGGGCAGTCGAGCATCACGACGCCGCGCAACGAGGCGGACCGCGTGGAGGTGCAGTCGGGCACGGAGTTTGGGGTGACGCTGGGGACGCCGATTGGGCTGCGCGTGATGAACAAGGACCAGCGGCCCAAGGACTACGGCAACGCGACCATGGACCTGTACCCGCGGCCCAGCCACGCGGACTGGACGTACCTGGAAAAGTACGGCGTCAAGGCGAGCAGCGGCGGCGGCCGCAGCAGCGCGCGCGAGACGATTGGGCGCGTGGCGGCGGGCGCGATTGCCGAAAAGTACCTGCGGCTGGCGTACGGCATCGAGATTGTGGCCTTTGTGTCGTCGGTCGGCAAGGTGCACCTGTTCCCGCCGGGCAGCGAGGACGAGGACGAGGACGGCACGACGTCGGCCGCGGCCGGCGCGCGCAACCAGCTGCTGTCGACGATTGACCGCGCGACGGTCGACGCGTTTGCGCCGGTGCGGTGTCCCGACGCCGACGTCTCGGCCGCCATGGCCAGGTACATTGAGGGCTTCAAGGAGCGCGAGGACAGCATCGGCGGCACGGTGACGTGCGTGATCCGCAACACGCCGCCCGGCCTGGGCGAGCCGTGCTTCGACAAGCTCGAGGCCGTGCTGGCGCACGCGATGCTGAGCATCCCCGCGACCAAGGCGTTTGAGCTGGGCTCCGGGTTCGCCGGCTGCGAGATCCCGGGCTCCGTCCACAACGACGCCTTTGTGCCCAACCAGCCGCTGCCGGCCGGCACGGCCACGCCGCCGGGCGCGGCGGCCACGCGCTCGCGGCTGACGACCAAGACCAACTACTCGGGCGGCGTGCAGGGCGGCATCTCCAATGGCGCGCCCATCTACTTCCGCGTGGGCTTCAAGCCGCCCGCCACCATCGGCAAGGCGCAGACGACGGCGACGTACGACGGCTCCGCGCAGGGCGTGCTGGCGGCCAAGGGCCGGCACGATCCGTGCGTGGTGCCGCGCGCGGTGCCGATTGTGGAGGCGATGGCGGCGCTGGTGATTATGGACGCGGTGCTGGCGCAGCAGGCGCGGCACACGGCGCGGCAATTCCTGCCGCCGCTGCCGCAGACGCTGCCGGTGGCGCCGCCGGCCGACAACGGCGTGACGGAGGAGGTGAAGCAGTAAGGGCAGGGGTGGGCAGCCAGGAGGACAGCAAACAGCAAAGTGAAGAGTGGGGGAGGACAACGCAACCAGATAAAATGGGACAGAGCAATAGACAGTGGCGTTTCTTCTTGTCGCTTCGTGCGGCGCACTGGCCATCCACCACTGCTTACCGATCGCACTCGCTCATCGTACTCCTGGGGCCATGCCGGCCAGGACCTGACGGGACAATGCACTCTGCACGTCGTAATGTAGCCGCAGTTCGTGGTGTGCCAATGTTGTCTTATGTGCCTTGTCTGTAGCACTAGTTCCACCTTTCCATTCTCTCCTGGGACTTCCTTTTAAGGCATTCTAAAACTTACCTCGCGACTCCTTTAAAAAGAAGGAAAAAAGTAAAATAAAAAATAAAAAAAGGAAGTACAAGAAAAGAAAAAGCACCCACACGCATACTGGCATCCCATCCATGAAGAGCGTCCGACGGCCACACAACAAGTCCCGATGGGGCTGCCATGCGTGCAAGCAGCGGCACATCAAGGTGAGTGCACAGTCACCGACGGAACACACGACATTAAGCTTACGACTGACTCTGACTCGCCAGTGCGACGAGAGTCGACCAATTTGCGTGAATTGCAGCGTTGCAGGCCGGCCGTGTTCATTTACGAGCAGTGTGCCGTCAGTGCCGTCGGTGCCGTCGAGAACAGCAACAGCAACAGCAGCCTCGTCGCGTCGTCCGTCTCCTCTTCCGCCGGCAGCAGAGTCTACGTCACCGTCAGGTCCCTTTGATCCAGCATCCAGAACACAGACAGCGAGTCCTACGGCTGTATCCCCGCCCAGCGGCAACGACGGTCCGTCCATCCCGCCCGCCAACATGGTCGAGCTGGAGCTGATGCACAACATCTACACGAGCGACCTGAACCTGATGCCGCGGCTGTCGAGCGCCACGTTCCACCGCCTGGTGCTGAACCTGGCGCCCAAGACGCCCTTCCTGATGAACGAGCTGCTCGCGTTCTCGTCGCGCCACCTCGCCGAGACGCGGCCGGCCCAGGCGGCGTACTACCAGCACCAGGCGCTGCAGTACCAGACGCACGCGCTGCGCATCTACAACGAGCAGCGGCACGCGGCGCTCACGTCGCCCGACAGCTGCCTGGCCGTCTTCTTCTTCAGCTGGCTCATCGGCCAGCACATGTTGAGCGACGTGCGCGCAGCGGGCGAGACGGCAGGGGTCAGCCGCGGGACCCACGGGACCCACGGGACCGGCGACACGGCCCACAGAGACACGCTCGACCGGTTCATTGCGTACATGCACACCTACCGCGGGCTGCGCGCCGTCACGTCGACCACCTTTGAAGTGATTATGCAGACGGACATGGCCGACCTGATCCAGGACGTCATCCGGCGGCTGGCCTTTCTGAGCGACGGCCCGGAGACGGCGCCGCTGCGGGACGCCGTGCGCGCCGCGCTCGCTGCGGACGGCACCAGCTCGACCAGCTCGACCAGCTCGGAGCGCGAGCGCCGCGGGTTCGACGCGGCCATTGCGCGCTTGCAGTGGGCCATTGACGCGCGCAACGACACCCGCCGCCCGGTGGCCAGCCGCAAGGAAGACCTCGTCATGGCCATCTCCATGTGGCCGCTGGTCCTCGGCCGGCGCGTGTTTGCGCGCATCGTCGACAAGATGCCGGCCGCGCTGGCCGTGCTGGCCCATTTCGCGGTGCTGCTGTTCTGGTGCCGCGACATCTGGATCTTTGGCGACGTGGGCGCGCTGCTGCTCGAGGACATTGTGCGGACGATGCCGGCGGCATGGCAGGGGCTGCTCGCATGGCCACTGGCGATGATCCAGGGCGCAAGGGACGGGCAGCAAGGCCGAGATCGTCACGGTGGCCACGGCGGGGACGACGACGGAGGCCACGAAAGCGTAAGATGAAAACAACATCGGACGAACATTTCGAGGCCGGTTGCGAGGCGGAAGGGGCAGAAGCACGCCTTCTCATCGTTATGGTGCGATATTTTTAGATGAAAAGAGACAAACAAGTTCATACTAAAACGTGGCACGCGTCAGAAGTTAATTATAAAACAAGCCGGAGCTGAAAAGGATACAGGAGCCGAAAGGAGCCGAGAGAGATCGGCAGACAGTTAGAGTTAAATGTTGCTAAGAAAAGACTAGGCAGCGAGTATAACAGTCCGGGACGAAGAGCCGCTGGCACGAGCCAGCCGGCCAACGCGCAGAGTACAAAAGACCTCGACGCCCAAACCCAAGACGACCCAAAGGATGCGAGCGATACGAGACAAAGGGGAAGAGGTCTGGCAACTTGCTGCTTAGAAACTTCGGAGTCCAGAAATGAAAATAAATAAGTAAATAGATAAATAAAAAGGAGCAAGACAAGGAGGCGTGCCCTCCCACAATCAGACGGTCTCAACGCCTCAACGCCAGCCAATCACACGGTGCCATGTCCGCGGTTGCCAGGCTTCCAGATAACTATTTTGGGTTCTGATGGCTCGGGACCCTGTCTCAGCTGTGGGGCGTTTCTGCTGATGCGTTGACGAGTATAGGATGTAAATTGATTGGCCGGCTGGCATCGAAGGCGGGTCTCTATTTTGGCTCCGCCGTCGCAGCATCGAATGCCATGTCTCCTGGGCAGTGCTTATCGGAGGGTCTCCCCGGCGCGGCAGACGTTCGTAATACGGGCGAATGTTCAGGGGACGTCGATGCAGGCTCACGATGTCTGCGAGTCAGCGATCGCGACGATATATACCTCGGGGCCCAAGCCATGCTGCGGACACCCTTGTTTGGGCACTTCAGCATCTCACGCCGGCTCCTTTTGTGTTAACTCCTTTTGTCTCGTTAACGCCTGCGCTCCTTTCGCTCCTTCGCCGTCGTTTGCTACCTATTTGATAACGATCTTGACGACTGTCCTTCGACGTTCCTCGATCTTGACTATCCTTCGACGTTCCTCGATCTTGACGACTGTCCTGCACGACGTTCTTTGATTCTTCCCGTTCATACCGCTGCGTCCCGCCATTCCACCATCATGGCCAAACTCCTGCCTCTCGACGGCGGCGACTACTACGCCTGGAAGTATCTGCCGTCGCTACCCGCCTCTATCCTCTTCTGCGTCCTCTTTGGCATCCTCACCATCGCCCACTCCTACCGTCTGTACACCAACCGGCTCTGGTTCTGCATCCCCTTTGCCGTCGGCGGCTTTCGTAAGTGATCCCCACGGCCCCGTCTGTCTCCGCGCCTCCTGACACCCTCCAGTGGAAGTCGTCGGCTATGCTACCCGCTCCGCGTCCTACGCCCGCACCAACCTGCTGCCGCCCTATATCGTGCAGAGCCTCTGCCTGCTCCTGCCGCCCGCCTGCGTCGCCGCCTCCGTCTACATGGTCCTCAAGCGCACCATCCTCGCCGTCCACGGCGCCCACTACAGCATCGTCCCCGTCAAGTGGCTCACCCGCCTCTTTGTCACCGGCGACATTGTGACCTTCTGGGTCCAGGGCGGCGGCGGCGGCCTCATGGCCAGCGACTCGCTCGCCAGCACCGGCGAAAAGATTGTCGTCGGCGGCCTCGTGCTGCAGGTCCTGCTCTTTGGCCTGTTTTGCGCCACCGCCGTCGTCTTCCACCGCCGCTTCAAGACGCAGGCCGTCGGCGCCGTCCACAGCAACAGCAACAGCAGCGGGGCCAGCGCCGACGTGCGCTGGGAGCACATCCTGTGGATGCTCTACGGCGTGTCCGCCCTCATCATGGTCCGCAGCATCTTCCGCGTCGTGGAGTTCGCCATGGGCCAGGACGGCTACCCGCTGTCGCACGAATGGACCCTCTATGTCTTTGACACCGTCCCCATGTTCGTCGTCATGGTCGTCTTTTACATCTGGTACCCGGGCAGCCTCGACCCGCACCCCAGCAACGGCCGCGGAAAGCACCTGCACAGCCGCGACGTGGAGAGCAACCGCCGCCACGCCAGCAACGGCGCCGAGACGGACTACAGCCAGGGCTCGGTCCAGATGGAGCCCTTCAAGCCCGACGAGCGGCGCCGCTAAGTAGCGTATAGCTACAATGATACGTCATGACTGGAGAAAGGAAACGAGACTCGTTGCTCCAAAAGCAAGACGGAAATGTGGAAGAAAGGTATCGTGAATGGCGCACTCTTTAGATGTGATTTGCTTATGTTTGTCTTTATTTGTTTCTGCCCGGTCTGCTTGTGGACTTTTTCGTTTCTTACTTGGATAGAAATTGTGTTTTATAGGAGCATGAACTGGTTTTGGGAATTGTTCTGCTGGGTATATTACGAACGTCGAGAGTTTCTATACGGCGTACACATCACGTGCGTCCATATTAATGCAGGTATTTTCTCAGATAGCATCATGTGACCTTAATTAAGTACATCTAGGTCGAATCTCAACAAACTTTGATTTTCTAGGATCTCCAAACCTGACAGGGGTTTGCTCCACACATACGCCCTCGTGCATGTACATAGCATTGCGTCTTGGCGATTTCAGGACTCCACATTTTTCCATCTCAGATAACCTGACAAGCCCAACGGACATATTCAAGACGTCAACGTACAAGGATGAGGTGAAGACTACCAGCATATTGAAACTGCTGCACAATGTAAGATTGGGAAAGTAATGACCATATCTCATCAATATACAACCGTCGACTTGCCGCGCCAGTACTGTTTGCGTTTTGTTGCGTTTTGCGTTCCATGTGCCTTTCACAATACGACACAAAGCACAGATTCTTTCGTTTTACAATTTGTTCTATGCACCCTCCTCAATGAAGGCCCATCTAGACGTATATGGTACATTCTGTGCACACTCACACCTCGTCTCTTTCGAAAACTAATACGACAGGGGGCTCGTGTCCAGTCCCGCAACAGACAGTTTGAAGGAGTCGTTCCTAGAGCACGTTAGTTCGTTTCGTGCCATGCAGTGCCTTTCCGCGATCTACAGCATCGACATACCGTGAATAGTGGCCGGCGACATCCAAGCTGAGCCGCCCGCGGATGCAGTCGTCAAAGTCGACGTCGGCCGCAATGATCCCATCCGCGTCGTCCCACTGTGGCCCAGCCAGCACCTCGCCAAAAGGAGACACAATCGCGGAGCCGCCGCGCGTTCCGGGGACATTGGGCGCAGTCTCTCCAGCTTTGGTTTTCTCGCGCGTATCCTGGCCCCCGGTTTCTCGCGTTGGAATGGTCGTCGGGCTAGGCACAAAAACAGGCTCAAAAACAGGTCCGAAATCAGGCCCGATACTGGGCCTGGAACTTGTTTCAGGCGCCGTGTCGACAATGGTTTGTTCGGCCTTTGTTGTGTTGGCCGAGTCGGGGGGACGACACAGTACAATCTCGTTGTCGTCTTCGTCAAATACCGACGACCGCCGGCGTTCGTGCTTGTGGCGCTCCCAGGCTTTGTCGACCGGCAGGTGGGGGAAGGGAGGCAGAGGCACGGGCGCGTCGGACGACAGGCCGTGTGCGCCATTGGCGTTTTCGTCGGATGCGTCCTCCTCGCTGTCGATGCCGTTCGTTACGATGGTCGCTGGCTCCACATCTTCCTCCGCCACCGTCTCACACGACAAGACAATCTCGTTACCATACTCGTCGTAGACAAACGACTTCTTGCGGCGTCTGGGCTTGCCCGTAGGCGACGACGACGTATAGTCGACAATCTTGGTGTTGATTCCCGCGTTGGATCCGGGTACTCCCCCACTTGTATTCGTCGTTGCCGTCACCGTCGACGGGGCGCTGACCGTGTTACCGTTTGCCGGTCTGGTCGGCAGCTGCGTTGTTGCGGGTGATGCCGCTGATGCCGCCGCCGCCAGGGAGCCGCCCGCCTTCGTCGTCATATTGGACGTCACCACAAAACAGCGGCCCTCGATGCCAATGGTGCGGACCAGCGAGAGCCACGCGTCGCTCCCGTCGGCCGTCGGCGCCAGGTACAGGTTGACGTTTTGCGCGTACAGAGACTGCCGCACGAGCGGCATGTAGTTCTCCCAGCAGATGGCGGCGGCGAGGTTGACGCGCACGCCCTTGATATGGGCTGTGACGGCACGCAGCGACGCGGGGCCGGCCGCCGACCAGATCAGACGTTCCAAGCCGGTCTTGGAGGGCTGCCGATTAGTACGAGAGCCATACCGGAGAGGAAACGACACGAAGTGCAGAGGCACGGACAGCAGAGGAGACCTACCGGTTGAACTTTGCGGCGCTTGCCGAGGACGCCTTGGGTCGGGCAGACGTAGACCACGGCGCAGTAGAGGCTGCCGCCGGCCCTCTCGATCGCGCCCACGACAAGAAAAACACCCGTCTCGCGGGCAATCCGTTCCAACGTCTCGCGTGTTCCGTCGCCCGGCGCCGTCTTCGACGTCGTCTTGTCGGTTGCCCGCTCAGGATCTGCCGCGGTCTTGTCGACCCAGGCATCGCCACCCCCTGCGCCAGCATCGCCCACGACATCGCCAAAGTCGACGGCGCGCCGAAAGTATTGCAGAAAGGCCTCGCGGCCGTCGGCATTGTCTGCGCCCAGGGTGCTGCCGAAACGGACGCCGCGCGGGTAGCCGCCGCCCAGAAACGCCTCCGGCAGCAGCAGGAGATCGATGCCCTTTGTCGCAGCCCGCTGGGCGAGCGTCTCGAGAAGAGCCAGCGACGCCTGGGGCGAGTCCGCGGGCGCGGGCGAGCAGGTACCCAGACGAATCTTTGTCATCGTGGAGGAGATTGTCGGAAGAGACAGACGAGAGTCAATGGTGATATGACGTGGAGGTAGTGGGCTTGTCTGTTTGACAACAAGGACACAAAAGAAACGAAACGAGAAAGACGAGGAAATGAGAGAGGACAAAGGATCAGATGCGAAACAGCGCCATCGCCTTCCAAGGGGGGAAACCCCATGGAGATTCCATGCCTTCCGAGGGCAGGTGCGCACCTGCTACTAATCAGGGTTTGCTGCGTGAGATAACGGGAGCAAGAGGAAGGAGCAAGCTTGACGATTTAGCCACTTACACACGCCCTCCAAGTCGACCGGTCGCTCTTACCCCGCCCCTGCTGAGGCCGTCAGATTGGATGCAGTGGACGATTTGGTGTGGCGTGAGACAGGACTGTTGGGGGGATGGGGGCTCCCAGTTTAGCCTAGCGGGCCTAGATTTGCAGTACAGGGGTTGGGTTGCGGGGGTCTACAGCCCAGAATCCGGGGGCGACTAGTCCTAAAGAGTGAGGGACTGGCCCCCATTCAGTGGGTGGCGTGTTGCTGAGCGATGACGACAACACCAGCGCCCCGATTGCCTCTGCAGTGGAGTTCAAGCCAGTCGCCTTTTCTGCTCGACACGGGGCAAGTTGTCAGACGAGTGTGACCTACTTGGAGGCATAGAAGTGTCTGGCAAAGCTATCATTGTTAGAATGGACGGGTGCACTCTTCCCGGCACGGCCAAGAGAATGTGGTAAATTCAAACCTATGCTGCGTCTTCTTCATACTATGCCCCATATCGTTTGCAGACGTGAACTGCCACGTACAATCCTACGCATTCCGTAACCGGGCTCCAAGCACCGCCTTGCCCACGCTGCTGTCGTTGGCCTTGCCAATCTCGCCCGTGATCCACGCGCCAATGTCGGCCACCGCGTCCAGATCGACGCCCGTGTCCATGCCCAGGCTCTCTAGGAAGTACACCATGTTCTCGGTGGCCACATTGCCCGTCGCGCCGGGGCTGTACGGGCACCCGCCCAGGCCGCCCACCGAGCTGTCAAACGTGCGGATGCCGTGCTCCAGGCCGACGGCCGTGTTCACCAGCGCCTGCCCGTAGGTGTCGTGGAAGTGCAGCGCCACGTCTTCGTTGCGGATGCCCGCGGCCGTGATGCTGCGCAGCAGGTCCTTGGTGCGCGGCGCCGTGCCCATGCCCGTCGTGTCGCCGAGGGCAATTTCGTCGGCGCCCATTTCCAAAAAGTCGGTCGCAATCTCGGCGACGCGGCGTGGGTCGGTGTCCGGGCCCTCAAAGGGGCAGCCCAGCACGGTGGAGATGTAGGCACGCACGCGCAGCGGGACGGGCGTGCCGGATGCGGCGGCGGCGTCGGCGGTGGTCTGCTTGGCGGCGCGGATGACCTCGCGGAAGCGGTCGAGGGACGTGGCAATGTCGCAGTTCAGGTTCTTTTGGGAGAAGCTTTCGGTGGCCGCCGCAAAGACGGCGAGCTCGACGGCCGGCAGAAACGACGACGGCTTGGTCTCGGCGCCGGCCGTCGCCTCGCGGCTTCTCGAGGATGCGGCCTCGGCATGGGCCTCGGCCTGGGCCACGTCCGCCACGTAGCGGTCGGTGTGCTGCTGCAGGATGGCCGTCGCGTTGGCCAGGCCTTTTGTGTTGGGCACGAGGAATGCGTAGGATATGGGCACGGGCGACGAGAGCCGGTGCTGCAGGATGTGCTCGAGAATCTCCGCCGAGTTGTTCATCTGCGGCACCCATTTCGGCGCCACAAACGAGCCGGCCTCAATGGTCCGCAGGCCCGTCTTGGCCAGCCGCTCAAGCAGCTCGATCTTGGTCGCCAGCGGGATCGCCCGCTTCTCGTTCTGGAGGCCGTCGCGCGGGCCGACCTCGACAATGTGCACGTGGTTGTCCGAGGCTGCCGCTGCCGCTGCTGCTGCTTGGGCCTCGCTGGCCGTCGACTGAGCTGTTGCAAATCGCCGCACGCCGGTGCAGGCAGCTCTTGAAAACGGTGCAGCCGATGATGCCCGTTTGCAGCTCTGGAGCGCAGCAGCGCGTGCAAGAGACTGCGTAGAAAGTCTCATTCTCGGTGATGTGTGTACAGAGTACATCTGAGAAGCGACTGAAAAAATAAAAGCAAAGAAAAAAGAATAGCAAACAGTCGTACGTCAGGTGTCGTGTAGCTATGGAAAATACAGGCAAGGTTCTCAATATCGCCATGCTATCAGTGTAAAGCGCGGGCATGCTCGGCCTTTTTGCCCGTAGGGTAACTATCGGCAATCGGCTCGCTCTGCTGGTAGGTGCTGTTGCCTCCACATTGCCCCACAGCGAGCCCACACGTGATGCTAGCGCATAGAATCGGCAATTTAGGTAAGCAATGCTAAGCAATACTGTAAGATATACAGTAGCCAGACAGCATCGGCCAACAGCGATTTAGGATGCTTCTCTGGTGTCTTTTTGTACACAAAACCTATGTGCGAGTGTAGTTTGTTTCATTTGAATCTTGTGGTGTATTCTAGCGTGGCTTTGCACCTCTCAACGTCTGTCTTGGTTGATCATGCAGGAAATAGCTGCGCTTTCCAGACTGGAGTTATTTTGGGATATCTGAAAGAAATTGCAAAGGGCTGTCCGGGGTTGAAATATGCCAGTCTATTCTATAATCGTAAAATTCTCCACGGGCATCATTGTGATTCGTCAACGTCGTGTCGACTCGTGCCGGGGTGGGAGCCGCGCATGCTGTCGTTGGACAAGCCCAGTGGAAGTCCTTCTGCGGGCGACCACTGTGCCGTCTCTGAAACTGCTCATAAGGCTCTGTTTGCAAGGGAGTGACAAAGGTCCCTTCCATCATGCTTCACCGGGCTGTCTTGCCTTCCCAATCCAGTTGGGGTCTTTCTGTCGACGCAAGCTCAAGGCTCCTTTGCAAAAGTGTTGGCCACAATGAGCGGGAAACATGCAGTGGCTTCCATGTACACCTGTCTGTGTTAGTTGTCATTCAGAAACAAGGTGGATATCCAGCCCGTGGAAATCCTGCCCGTGGAAATCCATCCGTCACATGCGAATCCCTAGACACTCACCTTGACTGCATCGGCACCAATCTTAATCTTGCCCCACGACACTGCCTCGTCCGGCCGCGCGCCCGCGTCGCTGCCGTCAAACTCTTGCGCCGTGTTGATGTACACCGCCGACTCGGCACCGTTGCGCATCAGACACGCGTTCGCAATGTGATGCTTGACCACGCCGCCGCCCAGGATGATCATGCCCGCCCGCTTCGCCCGCACCGACATCGTGTTGATCTTCCGGATGTCCTCGACAATGTCGATGCGCAGCTGCTGCGGCGACGCCTTGAACGTGTGGAAATACAGCATGTCGCCCAGGCTGCCGTCCGTCAGCGCCGGGCAGAACACGGGGATGTCGTTCTTGTACGCCCAGTAGTACACCGACCGCTCGTCGTTGATCTCCTTGCCCAGCCGGCGGATCACCTTGGAGGGCGTCCAGTGGAATGCCTCGTCGTCGCCACCTGCCTTGGCCGCCTCCTGTTCTTCGAGCATCGTGTCCAGGATGGGCACCACCCAGTCCTCAAACGCGCAGTAGTTGTCGTTGGGCACCACCAGGTTGCCGATTCGGTTGAGGCCCCTGCTGCGCAGCCCGGCGCCGTCCGCGCTAAACGAAGACATGTACGTGTCGCCCAGGCACTTGATAAAGTCCTCCTCGATGCCGCCCGCCGTCGTCACAATCGCCGACACGTGCTTGTGCTCGACCAGGTACCGCAGCACGCCGCGCAGGCCCGACGAGATCAGGTTCGACGTGTACCCCAAAAAGATGGTCGTGCCCTCGCCCGTCTCGGCATCCTTCCACGCGCGCATGCCGTTGATGATGCGGATGGCGTCCGCCACGGCCGACGCCTGGAACCCCATGAAGCGCATGCCTTGGTACAGGTCATCGGCCGTGATGGGCCGGCCCTTGAACTTGTTGAAGTCGAGCTCCTCCACCTTTTGCGCGTCGTCCGGCATCTGCGTCGACTTGACGAGAACGGCATCCGTGGCCTGCGACGGCGGCTGGTTGTCCGCCGCCGTGGCGTTGGCGCCTGTCGTGGATTGGCTTGTTGATCCTGTCATGGTTGCGACTCGAGCGACTGCGGTGACTCAGACGGACATTAAACGAATGCAAAGACCAAAGATGGGAACCCAAAACGGCGCCCAGATGCAGTCGTCGCAGAGCACATGCAGGTAGTCGTCGTCGTCGATCTGGCAGTGCTACCATCGATGTCGCACCAAAACTTTTTTCTTCGTTATTTTTGCAGGTAATTGCCTCTTTGGGTGGCGGCAAGGCCTTCCCTCGCTACAAGTGCAGGTGCGGCCAGTCTTTGTACCTCCATACTTTGTATTTCGTACCCATGTACCTTTGCTCGAAATAAGTGGGTCATCTTGACTTCCGCACTTGCCTGGCCAATAGCCTTGCGCCGCCACTCTTCAAGAAGAAAGAACGTTCTTGCCAATTGTGCAGATTTGAGACTAGCCGACTGGGTAGCCCTTTCCGGATTAGCGCAGATACCACCGCGCGTGAGGGCCACAACAGCCGAAACTGGGGGTGCAGGCCTCTGATTGGCCACCCACGCATTGGATCGCCTCGAACGTGGGAAGGAGCGTTTTTCAGGCCTTGCCCGTTCAAGTTTGCTGCCTCACAGCGATTTCTCATGGGGCGTTTTTGCATCCTGCAACCTCAAACGCCAAAACCTTGCCTTTTGCATCACGCGCCCTCTCGCCCAGGAACATATCGGAAAACAGGGCACTTCACCATCCTTTTTTTAAGACCTTGTCAGTATCCGTATCACATACTGTTCCGCTGTCAGCACCCAGCCCTCTTGCGAGCGCCACACCGAGAGAACGTCTCCGCCCCCCTTTTGAAGACAGATCTTTCATCGACACACCTCCAACAACGACAACAATACCGCCTGGATAGTCACCCGCGCACCCTACCTGCCGGCACAGACACGCTTACGGCCATCGTGCCTTTTCGACACGACAACACGACACCCTGCTCCTGGACTGCGCTCCGGCGCCGTGGATGGGAACCTGCCCGTCTACCGCGAATGAGGGCGCAATCCCGACCGTCCCCTGACTGTCTCGATGTAAGTCTTTCGCTGCTTGCGTGCAATATCCTGTTGTGGCCTCATGTATGCAGAGATGTGGTGCGGCCTTCGAGATGTGTTGTGTTGGTTCCAGCGAGCATTGTCTGGCCTCTCACAGTAGGCCTTCGTTGTTCAGCGACATAGGGCATAGACATCGACGAATTTTTTACGCACGATTTCATCGCCCGGCAGACGTCCAGTCGTCTCTGCGGCCTTCGTGTTCCCAAATCTAACAAAACTCGACAGGTCGAGATATACAGGGCGCTATGACAGCGACCGTCGCTCGAGGTCTCCGCCGCCTATGCGGGATCGAGACCGGTCGCCCTCGGACCGCTACAATGACCGAGGCGCACAATACAGCGACAACGAACGCCGCCGCGTATCGGGCGAGACCCGAAACAACCAACCCCCCTTCCAGTCCAACCGCGACAGCTTCCGCGATGCCAACGCGCGGGACCCACCACGCGGGCCGAAGTCGCTAGGCGACCTCCCTGGCGCGCCCCGTGGCGGCGGTTTTGGGGGCGACTTTCGAGGACGCGGCCGTGGAGCTGGCCCAGGCCGTGGATGGATGCGGGAGGACAGCCGCGATAGTAAAGGTCCGCGCGACCGGGACGACTTCCGGGACCGGCGCGACCCGCCATTTCGAGACGATCGCAGTCGCGAACGCGACCGCGACTGGCGAGACCCCCCGTTTCGAGGACGATGGAACTCGCCGCCTACCATGGGTCGCGGCCCACGATCACCACCAGGACGCGGAGATCCGCCCGGTCGCGGCGACCCACCCGCGCGGGGTGACTCTCTTCGTGGCGACTCGCTTCGCGGTGACTCTGTCCGTGACTCTGTCCGCGACAACGTGCGTGATAGCGTGCGTGACAACGTCCGTGGCGATGCGCCTCTCCGCACAGAGGGAAGCAACCGCGATCCACGCGATTTGCACACCCCGTTGCGCGACGCACGCGACATACTAAGCACACGCGACATCCGCGAGATCCCACTCGGGGGGTTGTCCGATACCTCTGACCGGCCCATGGGAAGGCGAGGGTCACGCGACGGACCACTGTCGGCTGGCTCGTCGTCGTCTGATCCCATCTTCAACTCAGCGCAGTCGTACCGTGGCTCCACGCCAGGTCGTGGTCGCCCGGCGCCTGGCCGAGGACGGCCCCAGGGTGACTGGGAACAGCGCGGACGCGGTGGCCGCGCTGGTAGTATCTACGACGATCGCGATCGTTTCCCGCGCAGCCGGTCTCAGGAAGGCCGGTGGCCGCGCAACGACCGCGACGACCGCGACAGCTACCGCTACGGCCACGATGACAGCCAACGTGCCCGCAACCGCGACGACCGCGACACGCGCGACTCGCGGGACATGCGCGATCGCGATGGCCCATGGCCAAAGCAGGACCGCAGCTCCCTCCCCCGCGATACCATCTCCCGCGAGCCTTTGCCGCGCGATTCAGCTTCCCGCGACCCTCCCTCTCGTGAGCCGTCCGCTCGCGAACCTCCAATCACCCGTGATGCCGCGCAACCACCGGCATCACCGCCACCGGTCGCCCCCTCGGCGCCTGCATTTGGCTCGATACCTGCGCGGCCGCCGTCCATTGCTGAGGCATCCACTGGAAAGCCAACATCCGTGGCCACGCCCAAGACAGGAAGCGATGAGAAACAGGCAAACTCGTCTACGACGCAGACGTCGGCACTCGCTTCGTCTTCGGATACGTCGTCAACCGTCCCGGCAAAGCCACCTCCGACGAGCGGTGCCCCAACCGGCCCGCGTCTACAGCAGCCGCTGCCGCCCAAGCCCCAGCGCGCATCAAGTGTGCAGTGGGTGAACCCGGGCAAGGATGCAGCAGGGGCTGCGAAATCTACCGGTGCTGATTCACCCAAACCCGGCCTCTCGCCAAGTGCAGTGGCGGACCAACCACAAGACAAAGACACTGCGTCGACGTCGTCCAAGGTCGCCACAGAGAAGTCAAACAAGCGCCCGCGCCCTGATGAGAACAGCGCGGCGCCTTCTTCCGATGCACCGATGCTCGACGCCGACCAAAGCGAGCCTGGCGAAATCGCCGACGGTACTCCGGCCTCACGTCCAGCTGCGGAGAAGACGGCACGTTCGCCTCTCCCGACCCCCTCCAATATATCCGATACCAAGAGGCCAACGGGAATATTTGCCCGGAACGCCGCTCTTGCGCGAGACACTGCCGTCGCCAAAGCGTCACAGCCGAAGCAAACCAGCCCAGGGTCTAACAAGCAAGAGAAGGAGAAGGAAACAGAGCGAGACGAAACTGCCAAGGACAAGAAGCCACAGTCGAGCACACAGCCGCAGCCAAGGCCGCAAAACCCATCCGAGACGAAGCCATCCGAGTCCCCTAACCCAGCCAACACGCCATTGCTGGCCGAGAAGAGTAAAGAGAGCATCAAGGCGGGTGCGCTAGCCGTCAAACCGGAAGAGCCTGCGGCCAAGCCAGCACAACCAGCAGAGGTGAGCAAGGATGCGCGGAAGGATGTCGTCAGGGTACAGGAAAAGCAAGACCAAGAGAAGGACGGAGAGAAAGAAACGGACAAGGCGCAGAACAAGGATGCCCCCGTCAAGTCATCTCCGCTGCCTACTGTCTTGGCCCCTGCCTCTTCTGCTGCTTCGACCACGGTCCCGAAGGCGGAGCCCTCCAAAGTCGCGGTTGACCAAAACCCTGCGGTCGACGTCGACGCGCTGATGGTGTCTGTCCGCCGCGGGTCGCTTGCCTCGACAGCTCCTGATCGCACGTCCGACTCCGACGAAGAAGACATGAACGACTACTTTGACGTCGAGATTGAGAAGCACGAGGCGCAGCTCAAGAAGTTCCGCGCTCAGGCTGAAGCCATCCCCAAAGAGGGTGTAGCCCGTGCTGCTCTGCTAGAATCGTTTTTGGTCAAAGACATGCTCGAAGCGAACATTGGGCTGCTGGATGTCGTTGGGACGGTTCCGGAGGACACCCTCGCCGCCTGGCGGAAGGCCGACCAGGCGTCGAAGAAGATTAAGGAGGAACCGGCAGTCTCAGCTCTTCCCACCGCCACGCTTGCCGGTGCCTCGCCGACGGCAGCAGGCAAACCCGCTTCCGATTCAACTGCCGCAAAACCGCCAAAGGCGCCGGCGACCGGCTCCGAATCGGCTGCGGACAAGATGGACGTCGACAATGCTCCTGTGACTGCATCGTCAATGGCCGCCAGTAAACCTCCGATTCTGTCTCCTACCGCCACCACATCACCCACGGCGAGGGCCAAGTCGCCAATCAAGACGGAGAAAAAGCCCGCGGTCAACGCTGCGGAAAATAGTGCCAGTGCCGTTCCCACACCTGTTTTGCCGACACAGAGCCCGATCCCAGCAGCATCAACCGACGGCCTACCGACCAGCAACGGGGTGCAGCCCCAGCTGCAGTCATCGGCCGACTCGCCCCCGGGTCTCGAGCAAGCCCGCCCATCGAGCCCATCACAACCCGAGGAGGACGAGGACGCTACCGATGTGGACGAAGTCGACCTGTCGTACCCCGACGTGGCGCGGTTTTATATGAAGACGCCGCCCCTGGAGGACCTGCCCGACTACAGCTGTTCGCCATGGTACGAAAACCGGGCAGCCCTCGACGAAAACGACACCACGCCCGACATGGACGACTTTGTTCTCAAGCACATGCGGCAGCTCGATCTCGTCAAGACCGAAGAGCAACAACAACAGAGGAATCAATACCACGACAACTATGTCAAGTACCTGCAGTTTACAGAGTCGGACGACATTGTTGCCGTCAAGAGCCGGGATAAGTACATGGGCATTCACGGCATGGCCGAGATCCCCGCGCCGGCCACACCGCCCGCGGAACCCGCGCGGCCCGAAGGTCGTGGCACCGGACGACGCTTTGCCACGGAACGAGACCTCGAACGTGTGCTTCAGGCCTCAATGCGCGAAGAAGACGAGCGTAAGGAGCGCGAGCTTCGCGCACAAAACGAGCGCTACGCCAGCAACAAGGAGGCGACGATCCCCGGCATGTACTGGACAGACGAGGAACGGATGGAGGCGCTGTTTATCGACCGGTCTGGCTTCCTGCCACCCGAGAAGATGGTCACGTCCTGGCAGGTCTTGCCACCCGTCATCAACTTTACGCCCGAGGAAGTGGAGCTGTTCGAGAAGGCGTACCTCGAGTTTCCGAAGCAGTGGGGCCGCATAGCCGAGGCGGTGCCGAACCGAGACTTCCATGCCTGCATTCAGTACTATTACACGGTGAAGAAGGAACTGAATCTCAAGGAAAAACTCAAGCGCCAGCCCAAGCGACGCAAGAAGGGCACGCGCGGCAAGCAGCGGTCGAGTGCGCTTGTCTCGGAGCTCGGCAACCCCGACGAAAACGAGGACTCGACGGCCAACGAGACGGGCGAAAACGGCGAACGGCGTCGGCCGCGACGCGCGGCTGCGCCGACATGGGGCTTCGAGACCGCGTCCGCATCCGCTGCCGAGTCGGACAGCGCAACGCCTGCGGCCACACCCGGCCGTCGCCGTGGTGGCGCAGACGGCACCGAGAAGCCCGACGGCCGCAGGAACCGGCGCCGCGCTCCCAAGGACAAGGACAAGGACAAGGAGGCCAAGGACGGCGTCAAGGATGGCAAGGATGGCAAAGACGCCAAGGACGCCAAGGACAGTCCAAAGGACAGCAAAGAGGGCAAAGAGGGCAAAGAGGGCAAGGAGGCCAAGGAGGCCAAGCAGCCCAAGACGCCGCAAATCCTTGCACCCACACCGCCCGGCACGGCCGCCGGCTCGGGCAAGCCTGGACGCTCACGGTCCAACTCACGCGTCCAGGGCAGCCCACGGCCGCCAAGCGAGCAGAGCCAGCAGCCGCCGTCGCAGCTGCAGCAGTCGCTCATGCCGCCGAAAGTACAGCATCGCAAGGACGGCGCGCCGGCGACCATCACACCGATCCCGGCACCCAATGCGCCACCCGCCCCGAGAATGTCGCACTACTACGACGGCCCGCCGGGCACTCCTAACAGCGGCATGCACCCTCCTCCTCTTGCAGCCGCGGCGCAGCCGGGCACAACGCCATTGGGCACCGCAGATTCGAAGACAGCGGGCGACGCGAGCAACGGCCGTCTCGGCTACGGCGCCATGGTCGAAAAGGCCTTGACGCCGGCCGCGCAGAATGGCGACATGCTGGCACCTCCGTCCTTGCGGCCGGAGCAGCCGCCGCCGCCGCTGCAGATTGGCCTCAGCAACTTTGACCCCAACGCGCATACGAAGCCCTTCTACCGGCCCCCAATCCCGCAGACGTCGAGCTACTGGAGCGTTTCCGAGTGCAACGACTTCCCGGCTCTTCTACGGTCATTTGGCACGGACTGGTATGCGATTTCGGTGCATATGCAGTCCAAGACGCCCGTCATGGTACGTAGTCGTACACGAATCAAATGCACAATACCAACGCGCACGCGAACATTGTTTTTGCTAATACGATACCACAGGTCAAAAACTACTATCTTCGGCAGAAGAATGAGAAGAAGGCAGAGTGGGAGGCGATTGCCCACGAGGCCAACTTCAAGAAGCACCGAGGCGAAAAGATGCCATCGCCGCCGCCGCCGCCGCTCGTACCCCGGAAGAGAACGGACACGGGTGGTGTGTCGCGCATCTACACCCCGCCCGGCTCCGCGGCTGGTATTCCGGCCAGCAAGACGGGCGATGCTGTCGACGACGCCAAGGTAGAGGGCGGTGCCGGACCGTCGCAGTTTGGGCGTCTGATCCCGGCTGTGCCCATCGCACAGGCACCACCGCCAGCACCCCCTCTGCCGTCCCAGTCAGGCGGCGGCGCAACCCACAACCCCCCACGACGTCTGCTGTTGCCTCGGCAGCGGGTGGTGCCGCAGCACAGGTACCACCCCAGGTGGGTCAGCCAACACCGCCGTCCCACGGCAAACGCCAGCCGCAGCCAGCCGCGCCCGTATCGGCGGTGCCTCTGCCCCAGCAGGCACAGGTGCCACCGCCCACTGTAGCGTACCAGCAGCACCAGCCGCACACACAGCACACACAGCACACACCACAGTCCATCCTCATGCCGCAGGGTGCGACGGCAGGTGGCCAAGCCATGTCACCGACGGCGCGGCCAATAAGAGGCCCGACGTCGGTCGTTCCGCCACCGTACGGTGCAGCCTACCACGACAGGGATGCCGTGAACGAACAGCAGATGCGCGCAGGATCTGTGGGACCGCCACCGCCAGGCCCGCAGCAGACGCCTGTTGGTGCTTCGTCTGGCAGTGGCGGTGTGCGTATGGCCCCAAAGCAGCCGCCCCCGCCTCCGCCGCCACCTCCACCACCACCCTCGTCTGCAGCCGTTACCGCCTCCTCAGCAGCAGCCCCGGAACCCCTCGGCCAGCCGCGACCCACGACGTCCTGGGCCGATCCGACAAGCGACGCGGTCGACGCGCGCCTCAACTCGCTTGCCCAGCGCCAGCGCCAACAGCAACAGCAACAGCAACAGCAACAGCAACAGCAGCAGCAGCAGCAGCAGCAGCAGCAGCAGATGCGGCCCGACGATCCTGCGTCGTCTCGCCCGCCCGAGAGTTCTGTCTACGATCCGTACGCGTCATCCACGCCGGGCGGCCGTGCACCTCCTCATTACCGCAGCAACGAACCCGGCCCGCCGCAGTCGATGGGCGGCAGCCGTCCTGCTGACCCGATGCGTGTTGCGCATACGCCGCCGCAGCCGTACGGCCAGTCGCCAGCACCGATTATCCAGCATCAGCAGCCAAGTCGCAGTCTGCTCACCGAGCCGGTGCACCCGCAAGTCATGGGCGGCGGCGACCAGCGCCACAGTCGCCCGATGCACAGCGGCATGCACGACGTGTACTCCAGCAGCGTGCCGCCGCCGGCGTCGACACCTACGCCCACGCCTGCCGCGGCGAGCCGGCCAGCCAAGACGTCGAGCCTGATGGCCCTGCTGAACGATGACCCGCCCGCACCTAAGAGGGTAAGCGATGTATCGTCCAGCGCGCCACAGTCGTCGACACCGCCGCCGTCCATGGTGGGTCGCAACCCGCCACCGCCACCGCCACCGCCGCCCACGCACCACGACCCTAGCAATCCTGTGTACTCTCCGTACGGACGCAACCCGCCGCCGCCGCCGCCTCAGTCCCAGTCGTCCATTCCTCCGCTGAAGCCGTACCCGCCTGCCGCGCACAACTCTCCTCAGGTCCACAGCATGGCTGGCCCAGGCGCGCGGTCCAGTGTCTTGTCGCCCGTCGAATCTGCTGCCGCCGCCGACCGCGACTACTACAGCCGACACCCGTACCAATCGCAGCGGCCGCCTCCTCCGTCACAGAGCTATCCGCAGCAGCCATCGCAGCAGCCTGGTGGCTACGGTGTTGGATACGGGTCGCAGCCCCCGCCGCCGCATGCAGCCTCGCCAACACCGCAGTACCCTGGCCACCCTCCGCCGAGTCGCCGCGATCCAGTGCCGCAAGGCAGAGACGGCGGCTGGTCGCAAGGTCCGCCGCCTGCACCCCACTCTCACCACTACGGAGCAGCCGGCGGCCCCTCCCAGGGTCCGCCTCCGACGACTTCATGGGGCGCGCAACAGCAGCAGTCACAACAGCAGCCGCCGTCGCACCACCACCACCTCAGCAGTGGTGGTATGCGGGACGATCGCGGGTCCTACGCTCCCCAGGATCCTCGGATGCAGCCGCAACAGCAGCAGCAACAGCCGCCGCCGCCGCCGCCGCAACACGCGCACTCCCACTCCCATTCGCACTCGCACTCGCTGAGCGGTCGCTACCAGCCATCCCCGGTGCCGCGGTCCGTTGAACCGGCGCCACCTCCGTCGCAACAACAGTCCCCCTACGGACGGTACGGCGGCGGCCCACCAAGCGGTCCGGGCGGTCCGGGCGGCCCTGGCCAACCACCGCCGCCGTCGCGTGACCCGCGCGATGCCGGTCGCTACACTCCTGTCGGCTACGACAGCCGGGGTCCGCCGCCGCCACCACCCAACGATGGCCAAGGACCACCGCCGGGGCCGTACGACCCGCGCGACCCGCGCAACCGGCACCGGCCGCAGGACGACTACGGGCGGTACCGCTAATTTACGGCCTGGAAAGACTCAAATGTAGTCTTTGTTCGTATTCTTTGAAATTTTGTGTTTATTTTTGTTTTCCTTGTTTCATACGTTCAGCTCTGCTTTGCTACAACGGCATTTTCATTGCCTTAGTCGACTGGTGGGAACGGTGTTTTTGTTGTTTTTGTTTTTCTGCCTTTTTGCTCTTGGTTCGTGTTTCCTGTTGCATGTGTAGCTGTCTCTCGTTTTACCGAGTTTATGTGTTTTGCGAACGGTGTATATAGCTCTTGAAGAACAGCAGATAATTATAAAAAACGATCTCTCTTCTTCAACTTCATGGTGCGGAAGCGCTGCGCTGGTTTGTCACCACAAGCAGTGGCATCTTCGAGCCAAGCCTCGACTAACAAACCTCCAGCCGAACCGAGTCAAGCCATTTCGCCTCCATTGTCGGCTTACCCCTCACAGAAGCTCCCCCGAAACGCTCCTCTTTCTCCTCTTCGTTCATTTGGTTCCGTACCATCGGATGCAACAGCCGGGGCCTGGCCCAACACAATAAAGTACGGCAATTGGAGGGAGCAGAGCAGCTGGATGCAGCCGGAGCAATCCCACAGCCAGGATCCCACAGCCAGGCAACCAGACACGAGAAACAGGAAACGGGAAACGGGGAAACGGGGTCGTAGCCAGCCATCCTGCCGCGTTTTCAATTGTAATCATTTATCCATCCGTGCGCTACCCTCTTTTTCTTTTCATCCTGAGCAATGCCATCTCTTGTACAACAGTTTCGCACCATGGCCGCATCTTTTGAACAAGTCATTGCTGAGGCGGTGGCCGGCCGTACAATCCCAGGCGTCGTCCTCCTCGCAGAAAACAAGTCGGGTGGGTAGTCGTCACTTCCACCAAGGAAGCAAAGCGACATGGTCTAACAATGTAAAAGGCTCGCTTCACTATGAAAAGGTCCTCGGCCTGAGCTCAGTTGAGCCCGGCAAGGAGCAGGCCCTTGCCATGGACAGCGTCTTCATGTTCATGTCCATGACCAAGCTCATCACATGCATCGTCGCACTGCAGGCCGTCGAGCGTGGCCTGTGGGATCTCGACGCCGACGTCGCGCCGCTGCTTCCAGAGCTGGCGGCGCTGCCGGTCCTCGCGGGCTTCTCGTCTGACGCCGACAACGCCACGCCCATTTTGGAAGCCCGCGAGGCACCCATCACGCTGCGCCTGCTCTTGACGCACAGCTCGGGTGTCGGCTACGATTTTTTGACGGCCGACCTGATCCGCTACCGCGCGTGGCTCGTCAAGCAGCCACCCGAGGCCGGTCTGGAGCCGCCGCCCAAGATGAGCCCTGCGCCGCCGTCGGTCGAGGAGCGCTTCCGCCTGCCGCTGGCCTTCCAGCCGGGCCAGGGATGGACATACGGGGCAGGCATCGATTGGACAGCCCGGCTGCTGGAGCGGCTTTACGCCAAAGTTGCGGGCCAGACCGCCGGAGCGGGTGCTCCCGATTCCGCCGCTCTTTCCGCATCGGGCGAGTCCAAGCTGCCCTTCGTCCCTTTCGAAGACATTGTCATACGCGACATTCTGACCCCGCTCGGCTTGCCAGCCGGTGCTCTGACATTCCATCCCGAGCGCTACCCCGATGTGATGGCGCGCGTGTGGCCGTCGCTGCCCGGGCGCGAGGGTGGGCCCGACAGCCCTGTTGTCCACGGTCCTTCGTTTTACAGCAAAGCGCCGGCCGCTCTCGGTGGCCAGGGCATGTACGGTGACATGCCGTCGTTTTTCGTGCTTCTGCGGTCGCTGCTGCACGACGACGGCACGCTGCTGCCCTCCAAGTCAGCCACGACCGAGCTGCTGTTCACGCCGCAGCTGCCGTCCGATGCGTCGCGCCAGCAGCTGCTGCGCAGCACAGAGAACTCGGCATGGATCACGGGCGACGTCCCGGACACAAAGGAGTACGACTGGAGCCTGGGCGGCTTGCTGGTCACGGGAACGTCGCACCCGGTGCGGCGCAAGGGTGCCGTGTTCTGGAGCGGGGCGATCAACCTGACGTGGATCCTGGACCGCGAGGCCGGCCTGGCGGCGGTGTTTGCGTCCAACTTCCAGCCGCCGGGCGACCCGCAGGCCAAGGCTCTGATGCGCGCGTGGGAGGCCTTTATCTATCCGCAGGCCGCGAATCTGTAGGGGAGAATCAAGGTGCACGCGAGGTTCCGTCACGATAACGAATAACAGGCAACAGTTTGTAAACCAATTTCATGATACTTGGCATTGCTAATTCAGTCTCGAATGATATCCAAATCATTTCTCTCGCTTTCGTTTTGCCACGCAAACCTTCGCTAACTATGCTGCCCCGGTGACTAAAAATATTCCAAAATAAAAGGCATACGTACAACATGAGCAAATAACAACAACGTAGAAAGCTGGAAAGAGGGAAAAGACGCTCGCAGTGTGAGGCTATGTGAGAATGCGGCAGTCAGAGGAGTGGACGACAGGGCGGCAAAACGACTGGAAAGAAGTAAAGAAAACTAAAGGAATAAAGGGATAAAGATAAAAACGGGGGTATATGTGCTTCAACATCCATGGACCGGCGGCGACCATTTCCTTTCTATCCCACGCAATGTCTGGCTGTGAACAAATTCTGGCCTAGTAGAATGGACCGCGGGACTGCCTTCGCTCTCATTACACAGCAGCGGCCGCTGTTCCTTCCTGCTCGGGCCCGTCGCCATTGGCCGCCTTGCCTTCTGGCTCGCCCTCGTCTCCGTCTGCCTCTTCCTTGGCCTCTTCAAACTCTTCTTCTTCTTCCCCCTCCTCATCCTCGTCTTGGTATTCTTCCTCCCCTTCCTCTTCTTCCTCTTCGCCACCAATGGGACCGTTCATGCGCTCCCACACCTCGCGGCGGATCCGGTCGTCCTTGGCCTTGCGCGCCCGCTCCACCTCCTCGAAGCCGCCCGACTTCTTGAGCTTGCCCTCCTCGACAAAGCCCGTCAGCTCGCGCAGCAAGGGGTTGCCGCGCCGGCTCTCGAGCTCCTTTTGGCGCAGCTTCTCGGCGCGCTCAATGGCCTCGAGGCGGTTCTCGTGGTTCGGCTGCAGCGCGCGCACCTCGCCCAGCACGCCCTCCTTGGCGGCATTGGGGTCGACCATGCCGATGCCCTCGCCAATAGTGCGCAGGCCGCGCGACAGCTGCCGCGAGATGAGCGACATGCCGCCGATGAGGCCGCCGTTGGGCGAGCCGTTGACGCCGCCGGGCGCACCGGCTCCGGGCCCGCCGTTGACGCCGGCGTCCTTCATCTGCTCCTTGGTTGCCTGCTCGACGAGCGCAAACGTCTCGGATGCCTTTTCCAGGTCGTCCTGCAGATCGACCAGCAGGTCCTCGGCCAGCTGCAGCTCGTCGCGGCCCTTGCAGACTTCCTCGAGCTCCTTCTCCCAGATCTTGGTCCAGATGGGCTTGTCGCGCTTCATGCCCTCCTCCATCTTGGTCAGGTCCTTGGCCAGCTGCGTAATGTCCTTGGTCACGAGCTCGAGCTGGCGCGGCAGCGGCCGCACCCCGCGGTGCACCACGTCCTTGCGCAGGTCCTCGACCAGGTCCTGCAGGTCGTCGACCTTGGTGACCAGCCGGTCGGACTCGGCGCTCAGCTTCTTGCGGCCGGCCGCCACGACGGCCTGGCCCTGGCCGCCCTCAAAGTCGGGAATGGCCGTGTCAGCAATGGCCGTCTTGACATTGGCCGCCTTGTTGCGCAGCGCCGTCATCGAGCTCTCGACGTCCGACTGGAAGTTGGAGTACGTCTGGCGCAGCACGGCCAGGTCGCGCCGCAGGCTCTGCACTTCGGTCATCTGCTGGTTCGAGAAGCGCTTGCCGAGGCTGCCGGCTCCGCCGCGGGTTATGGCGGACGCCGACGGCGCGCTGCCCAGGCTCGTGGAGCGCGGCGAGTCGGCCGGCGGCGTCATAGGCTGCACCGGTGCGGCCGCCATGCGGGCCATCTCCTTGGACGCCTCTTGCTGGCGGTCCGACACGCGCTGCAGCGCGGCGCCCTGCTCGTCCACGTTCTGCTTGACCTGCTGCACCATGGACTTGAGCGAGCCGAGGCCCTCGTCAATGTGGCGCTTGATCTCGTCCAAGGGCTCGACGTTGAGTGCCAGCACCGTGCGGTCCTTGATGTCGGCCAGGTCGTCCAGCTCGTGGCGCACGCCCGAGATGGGGTCCTGGATGTAAATCTCGGGGAGGTCGGCGCCGTTCTGCTGCGTGTTCCAGGAGAACTTTTCGATAAAGGCGAGCTGCAGCCGGCCAATGGAGAGTTCACTGTAGCCCTCGGGCAGCACGAACTTTTTGACCTTGGACTTGTACTGCAAGAAGAGGGTCAGCTCCTTGCTGGCGGGTTCGGGTTCGGGCTGCGCCGCAGCTGTGGGCATGGGCGGCGGTGAAGCGTCGACACCCGATGTTGGCGGTGCCTGGCCAACCAGGGCGGCTTGCGCGGCATTGATCGACCGGGCACGTTCCCGCAGCTCGGCTTCGGTCCGAGGCTCGCTGCTGTCGGCACGCCGCCGGGCTGGCGATTGTTCGTCACCTGAGGACGTGACGGGCAGGGCAGGCATGAGGTCGACGGGAGGGCCAGTGAGCGTGGCGCTGGGCAGCGGGTACTTGTCGTCCGGCGTCTTGGCCATGGGGCTGTCGTCGCGGCGCGTCATGTCGGTGGTGATGGCGGTGGTGATGGCGGTCACGGCGTCTTTACCGTCCGCGCGCGTGTCGCTGCTCAGGGCGCTGCGCATGGGCGACGAGTCGTATCCACCGCCGCCGATTCTGCCCATCGACTCGTTGCTGCGGCCGTTGCGGCCCTGGACGGCACGCATCGATTCGCGGACCTCGCCCCGGCCGCGGTTCGGGATGGGCGTGGTCTGCGGCGGCGGCATGAGCGGCACGCTGCTTGATATGCTGCCACCGAGATGTTTTTGAAGGTGGTAGGTCGAGTAGCGTCGAGACGCGCGGCGCTCGAGGTGGTCGCCATTACGCTGGAGGGCCATGAGCGCGCTCTGCTGCGACTTGGGCGGGGGCGGCGGAGGGAAGGCGTCGATGTTGAGCTCGCCCATAGACGCGCTGGTGCCGAGCGAGTTGGAACTTCCATCGGGATATGCCGGGAGAACGGGCATAGACTGCATGGTGGCGCTGGAAAGGCTGGACTGCTCGGAGTTGACGGAACCGCGCGACTGGTCGCGTGGTGGGATAAAGCGGCGGCTCGGAGATGAGGACTTGGCGTCATCACGGCTGGGCGGCAGCTGTGGTGGTGGTTGTTGTTGCTGCTGCTGCGTCTGCGGATATCCCTGGGCGTCGCCGTAGCCGCCATCGATGCTCTCATTCAACAGCGTCGTCAGGCCCGATCCGGCGCTCCCAGACGTGCTCAAGCTATTGGCACGAGCTGTCAGTGACTCGGTGGAGCTGGTGGTGGTACTGCTCTCTCGATCGCGGGCCTGCTTTTGGCGCAGCTTCTGCTGCTTGCGCTTGAGGCCGTGCAGAAGGTTGATGATGATGTCGCGGATGCGGGGCAGGTACTTTTCGAGGCTCTCGCTGCTGGCCTCTTGGCTGAGAGTGGATTCGAGGATGTTGCGCAGCAGCTCGGGAACGTTGCCGAGATCGGACGTGTCGACGTTGATAGCGGTAAAGGCGCGACAGGCCATGTTGAACTCGTAGCCGAGGCGGACGTAGACGTCTGAGACCTGCGTGTCGGTGGCCTGGCCGCGCGACCATTGCGTCAGAGTCTCGAGCAGCTGTTTTGTGGCGACGAGGAGGTGGGTGACGCTCTTTTCGATTTGGGACAGGGGGACGCTTGCGTTGGAGCCACTGGCGCCGGGGCCAGAGCCGGGGCCGGAGCCAGAGCCAGAGCCACTCGAAGTCTTTCGGGGAGCCATTAGTGTCTGTGAGAAAAAAAATACAAGACCAAGTGGAGGCAGTGGATGAAATGGTGTGGTGACGATTGCATGCCAGCAGCCACGATGTGTACGGGAAATACCGTGGCATCAACGCCTGCCAAGCACGAGATTCGCTGGCGCGGCAAATAATGAGTCGGTATAGCATGAACGTTTCATGTTCAGGCGAAGGACGAGCAGCGTCCGTCCGCAGGATCGCCACCCAATACCCAATGATGGGGGGAGCAGCCAACAGAGCTCAACAAGCATGCTAAAAGCAAACAGAAAAACAAACAGAAAAACAAACAATAACAAACGGCAACAAAGAAAGAAGAAAATGGCACAAGGCACAAGACAGAACTCACATTTGCTCGTCGTGCGCCGGAAGGACCGGTACCTGGAGCGGTTCCGCTACCCACTGACCGACTCGACGGAGATGGCCGTGGCAGACCAGGGCCACCCATGCCAGCACCGGCCATGGCGGGCGACATGACGCGCGCGGGAATGTTCGATGGCATGCCGCCACCGACGCCGCCTTGGCCGTTCTCGGCGCCCGGCGAGCGCCGATGGATTTGGCGTTGCATCGGGCCGGGATCCTGCATCGGTAGCTGTGTTTTGCGAGTGTAGTACGGGGGGGGTGGCCTTTGACTTGGGGCCCGCCGGAGGGCGGTGTGCAGAGATCTGGTCGAAGACGCAACGGCAACAGGCAAAAGGCAAATGGAAGCGTTGCGGGTGGACAAGGATCGACGGTCTGAAGCAAATCTACGGCTGGCTGTCTGTTGGTTAAGCGTGCGAAGGCGGCCCGAGAAGGGGTAGGCTCAGTCGTTGGCAGGACGCGGCTTGAAACGAGGCAAGCAAAAGGCTGGTATTTGAAATGCAGCAAGACAACGAAGCGACGCGGAGGGTCGTAAACAGATGCAGCAATACGAGGCGATGTGGCTGTGAGATTTGAGTCTGATGAAAGTCGAACAGGTTCGTTGGGTTGCTCGCTGGTCTGCGATGTCGCTGCAATCGAGGGGACACGAAAGAAACACGAGAGCGAGGCTGACGGGCGCGACGAAGGGAGGGACGAAACAGAGAGTCGTTCGTGTTTGGGACACGCGGGCGGCGACGGATTTGCGAGGGTTGTTGTTGCGGAGAGTCAGACACGAAAAACGAAAGGGGGGCCAGATGGAGGTCGTTTGGACCTGGCCTGCTGCGTTTGGCCTGTTGGCCCCAAAAGCGAAGGAGCGTTTGGGGAAACGGTGTGACCCGCGGCAGGAGCACCTCCACCACGCCTTCCTTGCTCAGGTTGACTTCAGCCCCTGAAAAGCGGGTCCGTTTTGGCCAGTGGAAGACCGCCACATAGGGGTGGCTGGGTTGGGAGCTTGGGCCATGCGGATTATGTAATGAATTTGGGGGCCAGAAACACGCCGAATGGCCTGTCGTACAGCGACCTGTCGCTGTGTTACAGGGGCTGTGGGCAGGAGAGGGGGCAGAGGAAGATCTAAGAGAAAGTGACTGTTTGCACTGTGTGTGTTACGGTGCAAAAGACAGTGTATTGTTGATTAAAGGAGATGAAGAAACGTCATACCGGCCTGTTAGTCGTAGGTTTCTTTTTAAAAATAATAATAATAATAATAGTAAATAAAAAATGGTGATAAAAAAATATAGTACTGGTATCGAAAATCTCACAAAACAAAATTATCAAATATAAATATGAATCTTTAAAATGAAGGGGAAAGAAATTCAACTGTTTTGTACAGTGACAAATTGTCAGAAATCCTGTCTTCTCGTCAAATAGAGACCAAAATACCAGACACAGCTAATGCAAGATACCACAAATGTGCTCTCTACCAAGCCTCGTCCCAAGTGCAAGTAAACAATGCTATAGTATCAAACACAACAAGCGAGAAGAATATACAAAAGCGCCCCAAAACACAGTATCACTTCATCATGAAACACACAAGAATACAAGAACACAAGAACACAAGAACACAAGAATCAACCTTTGCTCACACTTTAATCTCCTTCTTTAGACACTTCTTGTACAAGAAATAGTAGGCGTGGACGGCAGCCGTGGCAAAGGGCGCCGCAAGGGCGGGCATGTGGAAGCGCACATGGGCGGCCATGACGGAGGCGACCACCGACTCGGGGGCACCGGGCGTGTAGAACCAGGCGAGCAGGAGGTCGTTGGTCAGCTTGGTGACTTTATGGACGCGGGCGTACATCTCGGTCTCAAAGTGGTGGACGGCCGTGTCCAGCTGGGCCGGGAGGCGGACGGCGTTGGTGGCACTGGAGGCACTGGAGGCACTGGCCACCCCGAGAATGGCGGCGGCCAGCTTGCGCGCGTCGTCCATGGCGACGTTGACGCCCTCGCCGGCAAAGGGCGTCATGAGGTGGGCGGCGTCGCCGATGAGGGTGAGGCCGGGCTGGTGGTCCCACTGGAAGCCGACAGGGAGTGCGTAGAGCGAGCGCGGCACCGTGTCGCCGGCGGCGTACGTGACGCAGTCCTGCAGGCGCGGGTCAAAGTCGGCAATGAGCTCGGGCCGCGACAGCATGGCGGCCTTGACCTCGTCCAAGCTGGTGGGGTCGTAGCCGCACGTCTCGGTCCAGCTGTCGGCGCGGGTGGTGCCATCCGGTCCACCCAGGAGCGGGACGTTGGGCGTGTCGCTGCGGCGCGTGGCGACGGTGACGTGCAGCGAGCCGTCGCCCATCTGCTGGATAGCGGCCTTGCGCCCGTCGGCCTGCACAAAGATGCTGCCACGGTGCACGAGCTTGGTGAGGGCGGGCGCCGTGTTGGCGGCGTCGGGGATGCGCAGCTCGTTTAGGGCCATGCCCGAAAACAGCGGCTTCTGGTCGCTCAGGGCGGCACGCACCTTGCTCCAGGCGCCGTCGGCTCCGACAATCAGGTCGAAACCAGAGGCCGTCGTCGCGTCGGAGAAGGTAATGGACGCCTTGGTCGCCGCTGTCGCCTTGGTGACCGTCTTGACGTGGCGGCCCCACTGGATCATGCCGGCTGGCAGGCTCTCGGAGAGGATTTGGCGCAGGGAGGAGCGGTCGATTTCTGGACGCTGGCCCATGAGATCCGTTTCGCTGGTGGGCTCGTTTCCCTTTGAAAAGAAGCTGTTGAGGTTCTTGTCGCAGACGAGCATGTACTCTCCGTCGTAGCGGGCGTACTTGAGGAACTCGTCCCAGAGGCCGGCTTCCTTGAGGGCAGCGAGGCCCGTGGCCGTGTGCAGGTCGAGGGTGCCGCCTTGGGAGCGGTAGTTGGGGCTGGCCTCGCCCTCGTAGACAGTGGCATCAATGCCGCCGAGGTGTAGCAGGCGAGCCAGTGTGCAGCCAGCGGGACCAGCGCCGACAATGGCAATTTTGAGAGACATGTTGAAGCGATATGCGTGTGAAAGAGAAGAGGTATGATAAGGGATAGGGGTGATCACTGGGAGAGAAACAACAGAGGTAGTCTTATATGTTGGACTTGGAACAGGTTGTGTTCTTGTGTTCTTTGTTCTCAAGCGAGAAAAGGCCGTTGGTGCATGTTGGAGATTCGATTTGGCCGAGATGGTGGCGAGCATACTTATATGCAGTTTTACAACCTCTCTCAACCCCCGTTGGGCAAATGTATGTCAGCTTCGAGGAGGATCAACATTATGCCAGCGGTCGAATCGTGAAAGACCGGCGACGACGAGGCTTGATTCCGTTTTGATCCCCGAGACCCGTAAGGCTGCAGCATCTGCTCGGGGAAACGAGTCGGCCATGCCGCATTGGTGTTTTGGTTGGCGGAATGGCCATCGCTAACGGAAAAAGACTGCAACCATGCGGCCCGTGTCTGGTAGAGTGTTAGTGAAGCTCTCTTTTCCTAAGGTAGTAGTCGAGTGTGGGACGAACGATGCGGAACGATAACGAGGTCCCACTTTTGCTGTTAACGCGAGGCTTCATGCAACAAACCGACCGCCGGGAATTACGGGTGATGCCAGGGGTGGTTGTAGGGGCACCAGTGAGATACGGCGAGCGTCTAAAACCCCGCGTGAGTTGTGGTGCGGTCACAGTCGTCGAGGTGAACTACTGGGCCGACCGGACTTTTGGCGCTGGAAGATAAAGTCCGGTCTTTGTTTGCAATACTCGGTAGCTATCCGTTGGTGTTAAGCAACTCAGGCAACAGCGTTGTCTTTCTGAAAGCTTGGCACGCAGCTCTGTCGTTTCGTCCCCGAGATAGGCTGACCTTTGAATAGACGTCGACAACAATACAACGGAGGAGATAGAGGCCTGCATGAGACAGACCACCAGAAGCGTGCAGTATTGCGTCCAACCCGGACATGCCCAACATACGACAGGATAATGAAAAGTAAATTCAAGGACCAGGGAGCCAAAAATGAGAGCCAAAACCAGATATCCAACAGTAGGGCAAGGCACTGTACATGCTAGTAAAAGAGCAGAAAAAATCACGTAAAGACGACCCGGACGCCATGACCATCCATCACCCGCCCAAGAAGCCTCGCTCCTGGTTGCGCGCCAGCTCCGAACTTATGGCATCCAGCTTGACGCCCACCAGGACGCACTCCACCGCACTCTTGCCGTTCTTGACGCTTTGGATCCGCAACCGCCACAAGCCCGTCTTGATCGTCCACGCCGCGTTTGCACCGCCGCTGAGCGCGGCATAGTCGACACGCCGCCGTTTGCGCGAAGGGCCGGGTTCGCCGCCGCCGCTTGGAGACAGGATGGCATCCGCAGCGTCCGTGTCGTCCGCCACCGTCTCCGGCAGCGCAAACGGCCGGCCGTCGAGCGTAATGGCCGTCTCGGGCTCGAGCACGACGCGCACCAGGTCGTCGCTCAGCGGCGTGTTCCCCGGCGAGGGCGGCTGGCTGCGGGCCCCGCCCTGGCGCATCAGCAGGCCGAGCGGCTGCGTGGTGGGCGGGAGGTTGAGCTTTGTGGCGACAACCTCAAACAGGCGCGCGATGCGAATCTTGGTGTCGCGGAAGAACTCGGCCCGGGTGCCACGGCGGCCGCCACCGCCGGGCGCAGGCGATGCGGCTGCGGGTGACGACGCCGGCGGGAAGAAGTGCAGTTTGGTGTTTTCGCCGCCAATCTCGAGCACGAGCTCGGCCGGCTTGTCGTCCACAAACGGCCGCGCATAGTTGACCCAGCCGGCCAGGGGGTCCCCGCGCGTCGGCTCGTTGGCGACGGAGACGCCCGACTTGAGCACGTCCTCGACGCGCAGCGCCATCTCGTAGCGCAGCCGCGCCTGGTTGTAGGTGAGCGCGTGCGGGATCAGCTTCTGCTCGAGGCCCTTGAAATTAAAGTAGCGGCAGTCGCGCAGCAGCGTCTGCCGGTGCGTCTCGTCGCGGATGTGCACGGGGTAGCCGCGCAGCAGGTGCAGCAGCTCCTCAAAGGTGTCGGCCGACCGCCCGGGGACAGCCGGGGGCAGGATCGACGGGGGCCGGATCAGACCCTCCCGGTCGAGGCCGGGGAACAGGTCGTCCGGGCTGCTGAAGAAGATGGCGAACCCGAGGGAGAAGTAGTTGGGCAGGTTGCCCGGGTCCTGGAACAGGTCGCGGGGGATCTGGAACTCGCGGTGGCCAATGGACATGAAGATGGACTCGTCGTACAGCTGCGAGATGAGCCGCGGCAGCGAGTAGAACTGCGCGTCCGCAAACAGCCGCACAAAGTGCGTGCCGTCGCGCGGCTGCACGTGGTAGCCCTGCAGGTGCAGCGAGATGTCGCGGAACGTCGCCGGGTCGCGGTCAATGTAGAGCGTGCGGATCGCCGTCCCAATGTCCTCCACGCCGTGCGCCTCGGCCGTCTTGATCTGGCAATCAAAGTACTGCGAGAAGTACGACGGCGCATCCGACGACAGCGACGCGCCCGACAGCTTGAACAACTCGCAGCCGATCTGGATGGGGAACACGCGCTCGTGCGGCAGAATGTTGGGAATCCGCGCCGCCATCTGCATGGATGACTCGCTCAGCCGCGGGGCCGTGACCGGCCGCCCAGAGGGCACTGCTGTCGGTGCGGCGCCGCCGTTTGTAGGAGCGAAGTTGGTGAGCTGGGCCGTCACGGGGTGGCCGCCGTTGCTGCTGTTGCCGTTGTTCATGTTAGGGGTGGTGCCGTTGTTCGTTGGCAGGCCAGGCGTGGCCACGGACCCTGGCGTGGGGTGGCCGGTCGAGACGGACCCGGCCCGAGGCGTCTGGTGCTCGCTGCTGAGGGACGACATGGCGCGGAGAAGGAGCCGACTGAAGAGACGACTGGAGATTCGGGGTTGGGAGATGAGTCGTGGCGATAGACAGTTGACTGGACGAAGAGGCGCCCGAAGAAGCTCGTCGTCCGGGTTGAGGTCTAAGTACGCCGAGGGGCGGATCTGCGAGCGGCTGGATGGCGTTCGTGTAATACAAGCATGGCCTGGAAGGGCGCATGCGCACGCGGACGGCGTCGAGTGCGCACACCGAGAAAGTCGCGCAGTATTACTTTGTACGTGATGTCGTTTCAGCCGCGCGAACTCGAATATTCTTGCATCCTTCCTTCCGTGCCTCGTCTCACGTCCCGTCGATAGAAAACGGAAGGCGGTTGGATGAGGCGCGGGAGTGAGGCGCGATGAGGAAGGTGCTAGGTGCAACCGACGCTAGTACAATTTAGGAATAGCGCATATGTTATACGGCAGAAGGAACAACCGTGTAAATTGAAGCATCGGAAGGCGGAGTGTTTACAGCACGATGAGCATTCCGTGAGAACCAATCTATTAAACGAGGTCGTACACTGTGCTAATACGCAAGGAAAACGCCGAGAAAGGGCAAAAGAGACGATGAAATCATCTAGAAACACAACCCGCTATCCTCCCAAATAAGCCAACCGTTCGCAGAAATAAGCAGAGCAATAACCAGTGGGGAAGAAGTACAGCAAACCAGGGTAAAAGTAAAACATACAAACATAAAAGAATGCAAAAGACAGATCGGAAAACAAGGTATCGTTGGATCGTCGGGTCGTCGCCATCGTCTTCATCACTTCTCCTCATCAGCCTTCACGGCAGCCTCGCCGTTGACTGCGTCGTCCGTGACGGCAGTCTTGATGGTCGCGACAGACGCAATGAGATCAGTCGATGCCTCTTCCGCCTCCGTCTCGCGCGGACTGGCTAGCGGACTGGCTAGCGGACTGGCCAGCGGACTCGTCAGGCTGCCACCAATGCTACCGGTGATGCTCTCGGACCGCCCGTGGCCAAGGAACCCGCTGCGTCCACTACGACCACTGCGGATGCTGGCCCCGTCGCCGGCCACGCCGCCGCCACCGCCGCCGCCCAGACTCTGCCGTGCATAAAAGCTATTGCGGTCGCCACCGCCTAGCATGCCTGTCCCCGTGGCGCTGTAGATGCTCGTGCGCTCGGCGGCGGCCGCCACCGCGGCGGGGCTCGCCAGGCCGGCGCTGGCGACGCTCATGCGGCTGTTGGTCGCGTGCAGCGCCACGGGCCCGCCGGGTGCGGGGACTTGTGCGTTGGCATTGCTGCTGGCCGACGTGCTGGGCATCAGCGCCGACGTCGACGACGGGCCCTCCATGTTGGCCGACAGCACCGACAGCGGCAGACTCTCGCGGCTGCCGCCAAACAGCGACGACGGCGCCAGCGCGCGCACAGACGCGTCGGTGTCAATGGACCGCCGGCGGCGGCGCTTGCTGGACGACGCCAGCGTCAAGATGGACGCGTTGTCGGTCAGCAGGTTGTTGGCGGTCGCGGTCGAGTAGGTGGCCGGGTGGCCGGGGCCGGCGTTGTGGGGGAGGGGCGTGAGGTGCGACGGGATGGCCGACGCGGGGGTGCTGGGGAACGGCTGGTGGAACTGGATGGTCTGCGTGCCGTTGCTCTGCTGTGACGCGGTGTGGTGGTGGTGGCTGTGGCCGTGGCTAGACGGAGGCCCGAGGTGGTTGCTAAACGTCATGCCGACGCTGGCGGTGCCGTTGCTCGCGGCACCTCCGCCGCCGCCGCCACCAACACCATTTGCCTGGCCCATAGCAGCCGCGGGAGCCAGCGATTGTATTGTTGTCAATGTCGTCGTCAGCGAGCGTACCGACGGCGCCGGCGACGAGAATGTGCTGTCGCCGCCGCGCCGCGACCCGGGCCCGTTAATCGTCCGACTCGTGCCTGTAATCGACGACGCCGCCCCGGCACTGGGTGCCAGCACCGACCGCGGCGTGCCGTGGTCGGTCGATACGGTCGGCGCCACCGACAGCGCGCCTGCCGTGGGTGGTGCCCGGCCGTCGTCGCTGGCCGACTCGATCAGGCTGCTGCGGCGGCTGCGCCCAATGGACATGGAGCTGGGCGTCGCGCCGCTGTGGCCCGCAAACGAGGGTTGGCTGCGGTGCGGCCCGCTGTAGTACTGCTCGCTGCCGTCGTCATTCCCGTCCTCGCCGTCGCTGGCGAAGCGATTGGGGTTGTCGATGACGCCGAGGCGGCCAGACAGCGGGTAGGGATTGTTGTTCTTGGACGGGCGCTTCTTGGTGGCTGCCGACGACTTGCCGAGGTGCCGCGCGGCACCCGAGGCGGACGAGGACGAGGACGCGCCGCCCTTGAAGTGTGCGAGCTTCTTGACCCAGGTAGTAAATGGCCGCCGACGAGCCGTGCGGCTGTGTTCTGTTTGCGTCTAGTCAGTATCAAGACAGCTCCGTGAGAGACAGTTGCTCCAGGGTGAAGAGCCGTCTAGGGCCTACCCTGTGAGGTTTCTGTCACCGCCATCCGTCTGGCGCGATGGAGTGTCGCGGAAAGAGACTGGAGGCTGTCTTCGACCGTCGTAATGTCGCGATGCCGTGTTGTGATGTCGCGATAGTCGTCGATAAGATCAATCAGTCTAGGGTCCTCGAGATCGCTCTATAGCGTGAAATGGATAAAGGACAGATGCAAACGTTGGCTGGTCGGTCTAGCGGCGGATCTGGGCTGTCGTCGCGTCTCGGAGTCGTGGAGAAACGGGCCAAGCAGGGCGTGAGAGAATGCGTGCCGACGGATGCAGATGCAGAATGCAGGATGCACTCAGGAATGCAACTGTGACGCTGCCGCCGGAGAAATGCCTGGTTCAGCCTAAACTAGTGTTCACAGGGACCGCCGGACAGGCGAATGGGGGTGCTGAGAGCTAACTGTCCCTGTGTGGGTTTCAGGGGTTAGGGGCGACGACGTCAGTGGTCTATTAGCGCCACCTTGGCCTCGGGGCCCAGGCGCGTCGATGAGCTCCGTTCGGGCCCGCACGTGACGCAGTTTTGGTGTACGTCGTGGCGATGTCGACAACTCGCAAACGTTGCTACATAACCCCATGCCGGCAACGGTTACCCTGTGAAACGACCTCTTCTCCTCTTACGGCAATGTAAACACACGACATGTCGATCCAGCGGCTGCCAGGAGCTGTGGCGGCACAGATCAAGTCGTCGGCCACCGTTGCGTCGCTGAATGCCACAGTGTTGGGACTCCTCCGCAATGCCCTCGATGCAGGTGCCGTTCGGGTGACCGTGTCGGTGGACTATGGCCGCGGAAGCTGTGTTGTCGAGGATGATGGCGCGGGTATACCGCCAGACGAGTTTCGCGTCGACGGCGGCCTTGGCAAGCTCTATTGTTAGTCGGTGCGCGAACCTTTTTTTTTTTGTTTACTTTGGCAGCTACTGACTGGCCAGATACATCCAAGTATCCACCGTTAAAAGGCACACACGGCCGATATGGGACCTTCTTGGCATCCGTTGCGGACCTCTCGCTGCTGACGATCGTTTCACGGAGCCGTGGCTGCAGCTCGGAGAGCACATTGACCATCCACAATGGCAAACTGCTGCGTCGGCATATAACCGATGTGTCAAGCCAGACTGTTTTTGCGTCGCCACATGGGACCCGGGTCACAGTCCGCGATCTGTTTGGATGCTTGCCGGTGCGTGCCCGCTTGCGACCGCTTCCTGACTCCGCTGCGTGGAACCGGGACTGGGACGAACTGATTCGGTCCGTGGCGGCCCTTCTTTTGGCATGGCCGGGGAGCATATCTGCTACAATTCACGACGAGGCCAGCGACGCAAGACGGACTCTACGAGGCGTCCAAGAAAACGAACCTGCTGTTCGAACGGCCCACCTGCTGGCACAAGCCGGCCTTTGTGAGAGAACGGACCCCGAGTCGTGGGTCAGCGTCGGAGCTTCTGTCTCTGGCGTGCGTGTCTCGGGTACCGTTTGTCTGGATCCGACTGCTTCGAAGCGTGCCCAGTTTCTTCGCATCGGCGTGACACCGCTGTCTGCGGCACACCCAGCCGACCGACTGTACAGCGAAATCAACAAGATCTTTGCCGATTCGGATTTTGGTGCGACAGACCTGACGAAATCCGACGAACGAACGACACGCGGCCCTATGGATAGATTTGTGCGTGAGCAGCGGCCTCGAAAGACCGTCGACCGGTGGCCCATGTTCAGTCTTGGCATCGACCTGGATGGGGATACGACCGCGGATGACGTGCTGGACGACCAGCGACACGATTTGGCAGTTATTGCCAGCTTGCTGCGAACGGTCACTGTCGAATTTTTGAAGACACACGGGTTCTATGAAGACCCTGCGACATGTTATCAATCTGGCAGCACTGGTGGAAGCCCGTCTCGGAGTAGACGAGGCACCCCGGGCTCAGCGACAAAGACACAGAAGGCCGCCGAGGCGCGTGGGAGAAGAGTCCCACCGCTTCCCCCAAAACGAAGCAGAGATGCGCAGTCATTGTTTTCATCTTGGCCGCAAACAAAGTCTGCAAGATCTTCAAATACGAAGTTAACACAGCCACATGTTGTCGCCCATCCTGGATGGGAAACACGTGGCGGAAACGCCGAAGAACAGAGCATGTTCTTTGCTAAGCCTGATTCGCTCCACGAAGAAGACGAACACGCCGACGAGGCTTGCTGTGATATCTCTAAAAACATGAAAGAATGGGACGAGAGCACATTGACCAGCGACGACCTCAAGATCTCGCGGGCCCGTTTGGAGGCGGCCACCATTATTGGCCAGGTCGACCAAAAGTTTATTCTCATACGAGCGCCGCCGGAGACGGACGATTCTGGGCCTCTGCTCATCCTTGTTGACCAGCATGCGGCAGACGAGCGATGTCGCGTCGAAGCCCTTTTACAGGACTACTTTGAAGAGCGCCGACAGGAAGGTGCCATTGCGACGGTCCTGTCACGCCCCATGCAGTTTGAACTCTCGACCGACGAACTCTCCCTCTTGGAACGGTCTAGGGCCTATTTTCGGCACTGGGGTGTGGCATATGATATGCTGCCGCCGAACGAGACACGCGAGGCAGACACAACGGTTCTACGAGTGACGGCTCTGCCTTCATCCATCGTTGACCGCTGCACACAAGATCCTCGCCTGGTCATTGATCTCATCCGCAAAGAGATATGGGAGCGCAAAGAGGCAGACCTGGACTGGAGACCGGCATCGGACAGCAACACACACTGGACCGCCCGATTTCACAGGTGCCCACGAGGCATCCTGGACCTCATCAATTCGAGGGCATGCCGAAGTAAGTGCCTCTGCTTCCCTGCACCGAATTCAAGTAAGCTGTTTGTCTAACGTCTTAGGTGCTATTAAATTCAACGACGCCCTGACTCGCGACGAGTGTGTCGACTTGGCAGATAGGCTTCTTCGCTGCTCGTTTCCATTCCAATGTGCACACGGCCGGCCTTCCATGGTCCCACTGTTGAATCTTGGCCTCGACGAGAGCTCAAACTTGTACTGAGAGCTGACCGAGGCTGAAAATAGCAAGCCGTAGAGGCTGCAACAAACGACGACATAACGATATATACCCACATATAACTAGACAGTTTGAATATTAAAGAACATACAATTCAATTCCCGGATACAATGGGGGGCATTTATTGGCATAAAAGAGACTGCATATTGTTCATATGAGTTCTTTTCGTAATAACAGCAACTGAGTTGAGAAGTTGGTGTTCCTTGATGACTAAGCATCGCTTTGGACAGGCGGCCCTGTGTGCTGGGTGGGTCTGCTAACGTCACTATCAGCACCCAAGAGCTAAGCTCCCAACGACAAGGCAACCATAGCCGCCAATTCCAAACGACTTACCGATGACCTCCACAACCACAGCGACAAACAGACACCGAATCGGCATCGCTACAAGAGAATGTGACCATGGCCAACTCGGTACGTTGCGAGCGCATGCCGAGCCCTTGCACAATCCCACAAATGATGGCACGCTAACCCGCACGCAGTGGAAGTCGTTTGACTTCTTCGATGTCAGCCAGGCGAGGCCCGGCGACGACGAGGCGCGCAGCTTCTTCGAGGGCAACGAGATTGCCAGCGTGTGTTCCGGATCCGACAGCTTGTTCCTCGGCAGCTTCGATGGCTACGTGCGCATTGTCGGCCCGAGCTGGAAGATTGTGCGCAGCTTCCTGGCGCACGACGCCGGCAGCATCACCCACATGCGACAAGTCGAGGGCACGAGCTTGCTGGTGACTGTAGCGGTGCGTCGACGAGATGGGGCGTGCTATGGGACGAGTGGGACGGGCGGCTAACTCGTTTGCAGGAAGACCTGAGCGTTGAGCCGGTGCTCAAGGTGTGGGCGCTGGACAAGCCAACCAAGAAGACAGGACTGCCGACATGTCTGAGCACCATCCAGATCAACAACGGCAAGAAGCAGTTTCCGGTGCGTACGCAACCTTCATAGACTGCATGATACAGCCACTAACCGCCGTCGGACAGATCTCTGCCTTCACCGCCACCCCCGACGTCTCGCAGCTGGCCGTCGGGTTTGCCAACGGCTCTGTGACGCTCATCCGTGGCGACCTCGTCAACGACACCGGCACGCGCCAGCGCATCATCCACGAATCCGAAGAGCCCATTACGGGCGTCGAGCTCGACGTCGACGAGAAGCTCACCACCACTCTCTTTATCGCCACGACCGGCCGCATCCTCAAACTGCCCATCCTCGCCAGGGGCAAGGCCCAGCCGCCCAAGACCGTCGAGGACACGGGCTGTGCGGTCGGGTGCATGACCATCGACCGGCGGACCAACGACATTGTCGTCGCGCGTGACGATGCCATCTACTACTACACAATCGACGGGCGGGGCCCGCCACGGGCGTACGACGCGCCCAAGAGCATGATCTCGGTGTACGACGACTACGTGGCGCTGGTGTCGCCGGCGTCGGCCTTGGGCAGCAGTGGCGGGAGCGGTGGCGGCGACAAGGGGAGCGGGAATACAGGCGGAGCAGGCGTTGGTGGCGGCGGTGGACACGCCCTGCGCAGACGCTTGGGCACCTCGGCAGCGGCGGCGGATGTCCTCTTCAACACGTCGACCTTTGCGCTGCTCGAGACCGACCTCAAAGTGGTCGCGCACTCCGAGACGCTGCTGTCGCCCGTCAAAGCCATCTTCCAGCTCTGGGGCAGCCTGTGCGTGCTGACGCTCGACGGGAAAGTGCGGCTCTACCGTGCAAAGTCGCTGCAGCAGCGCCTCGACATGCTGTACCAGCGCAACCTGTACCACCTGGCCATTGAGCTGGCGCGCAAGTCGGGGCTCGGCGGCGCCGAGCAGAACATTATTTTTCGCAAGTTTGGCGACTATCTGTACCAAAAGGGCAGCTACGACGAGGCCATGGTGCAGTACATCAAGGCCATCGACAGCACCGAGCCGTCGCAGGTGATCCGCAAGTTCCTGGACACGCAGCGCATTCACAACCTGATTGAGTACCTCGAGGAGCTGCACGAGCACCACCGCGCGACGGCCGACCACACGACGCTGCTGCTCAACTGCTATGCCAAGCTCAAGGACATTGACAAGCTGGAGGCGTTTATCAAGTCGCCGGGCGACCTCAAGTTCGACCTGGACACGGCTATCGCCATGTGCCGCCAGGGCGGCTACTACGAGCAGGCCGTCTACCTGGCGAAGCAGCACAGCGAGAACGAGCTCGTCGTCGACATTCTGGTCGAGGACGCCAAGCAGTACGACGACGCCCTCGACTTTATCTGGCACCTCGATGCCGAGACGGTGGGTGCTCCGTTCCTCCGTTTATATTTTTCGTATGGTTTTGCTAACAATGACAGGCATATGCGAGTCTCATGAAGTACGCTCGTGTGCTCATTGAACACTGTCCAAAAGACGCGACACAGCTGTTCATCGACTACTACACAGGCAAGTACAGGCCGAAGCTGGATGTGCCGACATCTGCGGGCGTAGCAGCCGCTGCAGCAGACGCGGGCGGAAGCGGCTTTGCCTACGGCGCGGCCTCGGCCGTCTCCAACCTCGCCGGCCGCATCACGTTGCCGTACATCTCGTCGTCGTCTGCGGCGACGCCAGCAGAGGAAGCAAAAGCAGCCACCGCCACGGATGCTGTGGCAGGACCGTCGTCAACCGACGCCGGCAGCACGCAGGCGAAAGCTGCAGCCATGCTCGTCTACAAGGTGCCGAAGCCACGGACGGCCTTCTCGTCCTTCATCGACCACCCGGACGAGTTTATTGTTTTCCTAGAGTCCTGCCTCAAGGACAAGAAGCCGCTGGCGGACGACGACCGCACCGACTTGTACACCACACTCTTTGAGATGTACCTGCAAAAGTCGTCGGAGAAGAAGGGCGCCCAGCACCGCGAGGCGTGGGAGGCCAAGGCCAAAGCGCTGATCAGCAAGAAAGGCAGTGGGGAGGGTGAAACCGACGGCGGCGGCGACGACGACAGCGACACGCCCGTGCCGATTGAAAAGGCCAACGTGCTGCTCCTGTCACACCTGTCCAACTTCCGCGACGGCACCACCCTCGTCAAGGAGCAGGCCGGCCTGCTGTTTGACATCTTCCGCTCCTACACCGCCGCCAAGGACACGCGCGGCGCCCTCCACGCGCTGCACAAGTACGGGCCCGAAGAGCCCCAGCTGTACACGGCGGCGCTGGCGTACCTGACGTCGAGCACACGCGTCCTGGACGAGGCCGGGCCGGACGAGCTGGCCGCCGTGCTGGAGCGCATCCACAGCGACGGCCTCATGGCGCCGCTGCAGGTGGTCCAGACGCTCAGCCAGAACCCCGTCGCCACCATGGGCATGCTCAAGCCGTACCTCCAGGAAACCATTGGGCGCGAGCGCCGCGAGATCGCCGCCAACCAGCGCCGCATCACGTCGTTCCGCCAGGAGACGGAGCAGCGCCGCGCCGAGCTGGCCGACCTCGAGGCCAAGCCGGCCGTCTTCCAGGCCACGCGCTGCAGCCAGTGTGCGCTGCCGCTGGAGCTGCCCGTGGTGCACTTTTTGTGCAAGCACTCGTTCCACCAGCGGTGCCTCAAGGGCGATGGGCGCGAGAGCAGCAGCAGCAGCACCATGGGTGGTGCCGCCGGCGACTACGGCTCGGGCGCGAGCTTGTCGACCGAGTGCCCGCTGTGTGCGCAGGACAATGCGACGGTGCGGGCCATCCGGCGGCAGCAGGAAGAGTACGCAACGCGGCACGACCTGTTCAAGACGGAGCTGGGCAACAGCGACGACCGGTTCGGCACCGTGGCCGACTGGTTCCAGCGGGGCGTTATGGGGCCGGCGGGGGAGTAGCGCGTAGTGTTGCCAGCATGGCTGTGTCTCTGTATAAATATATATATGTGTGTGTGTGTTGTTTCTTTTGTAATACAATGAATGGCCTGTCTATCCTTTCTATGCTTTTCATGCTTGTGATGCTTGTGATGCTCCGTATCATACAAGTCGCTTCGTACACGACGGCCAGAATCTAATAGCACTGCACGCCAAACAGCTCGTTCAGCCAGCGGCCAGTGGCCGATGCCCTCGCTGTGTCGAGTGGAACAGGACTCGCTTCGGCCAGGACGGCCCGCCAGTCACGAATGCCGTACAGGAGACGGTCTTCGAGGGCGGTGGCCGTCGCCTTCTCGATATCCAAACTACTGCTGACTGCCGCATCGCTGCCAGAGGCATATGGGAGGCCCGTGATAGTCACCTCCTGTAGGCGTCCGTGGCGTGCAGTGAACGCCAGGTCAAAGTGCGGAGGCACATCCAACGGCCGTAGAGGGCGCTCGCGCGGGTCTTCTTCTGTGGCTTGCGTGGAGAACGTAAACTGTGGTGTCTGCCCAAACAGCCAGTCGGCGGTCTAAGAACACTCTGTCAGATATGCACGGTCTCATAGCACAAGGGCAGGCGGTATCTCTTACCATCAACTCGTTGTAGCCGCTGGCCAGCTTTGGGTCAAAAGCAAACCCGCCGCGGCCACCACTCTCATCCGCCGCCATTGCGTCGGCATTGATGACCGTCTTGCTCGCCGCCGGGCCATACATGCGCTCAAACTCGGCAGCCACCGTGGAGCCAAAATGATCGTGCGGATCATGGGCGCCCTCGACGTCCTCACCCACCAGCGTCACATTCCGCACGGGCGACCGCACAGACGCCACACCGCGTGCCTTGAGGTACGGTGCCGCGGGAGGCGCACGCAGCAGGCCCGACACGGCGGCCAAGTCCGCTCCCAGCAAACAGGTGCCGTGATGCAGAGCCCGTCGGTTCGTCAGCTTGTACGCCGACCCGGAGATCTTGTACTCGCCGACGTCGTCCGCACTACCGGACCCCACCACAATGTCGTGCCGCTCGTTGACCCGTGCGCTGGTGACACCGAGCGTCTGCAGGGCGCGTGCAACCATCAGTGCATGCTGGTCGCGGTCGAAGCCGGCCGCCGGAATGTGCACGCTCCAGTTGGCATTGCCGGCGTCGTGGTACACCGCACCGCCACCGGAGCGGCGGCGGACCAGATGCACGTCGTCGAGCGGCGGTGCTTGTGGAACAGCTTGTGGAACACCTGTGGGCCGTGCCCGTGCCGACAGCTGGTTGAGGTTCACCTCGGCCCAGGGGTTCTGGTTGCGGCCGATGACGACGCACGGCGCATTGCGGTACAGCAGCAGCAGGCGGCTCTGCGGGTGCGCACGCTCAAAGAGCCGGTGCTCAATGGCCAGGTTGGCATATGGATTGCGGCCGACCGAGTGCACAACATGCACAACAGGCTGGGTCTGCTGCTCCTCGTCCGGAGGTTGGCTGACGCGGTCGAGCAGTCTGTCGAGCTCGCCGGCGCCGGTGGTCAGCCATCGTGGTGCCGATGGCTTTGCTGCTGCCGCTGGTGTTGCTATGGATATCGGTATTGGCGCACGCAGCCGTGAGCACACCAGCCAGGGCGCATGCGGTGGCCGTGCCAGCAGGGCCGCCATTGGTGATGCGATGCAATACTCGCAAGAGCCAGAGCCCAAGAGAAAGCGGGGATCCACTCTGGTCGTGGTTCCCGAACCGCCGGAGCATGTCCAGGAAGTCACGGCTGCACGTGCGGGTTCATTCCTTCCTTCCCAATGCCAGCTCCAACAGAATACCTTGATGGACAAAAGAGGAAGGCGGTGTGGACCCCCACTTGGTATGTACGTCGTATCCAGCAGTGCTTTCCCACTGGCGCCCCACTTTCGTACCGTCTGTTTACTCGCACAATGGGCAAAGCGCGTTTTCTGCCATTGACGCGCACGGGCCAGGAGTGGGTCCTCTGTTTACTGACGATGTCTTCCGGTCCACCCTCTTTCGCTCTTGCCCCCTTTTCAGTGGCCAAACGCGCCTTGCCTGGTTGGGCGTGCCACTGTACATCGTTCGCAGCGCAATTTAACGGACCGCACGACGCTGAACGAACGGCACTCCCGTGCCTTCCCACTTCGTCCTCAGGCCGCACGGCAGCTGCCCGTAAACAAACACGGCGAAATTAACGCTGTTGCCTGCTAAAAAGTTGCCGCCACAACATCCCTACCCCACCTGTCCACACCCTATTCCCGGGAGCCGCACTGTCGTCCCTGGGTCGTCAGGGGGTCCCAGCTGCTTCAACAGTGGTCCCAACAGCTAGAACAGCACCGTCCACCACCATCCACCACCCACCACCACATTCCTGCCGCCCCTCTTCCTCCCTCGGAAGCTCCTTCCCCCCTCTCCTCCCCTATCTGGCTACACTGGTTCCTTCCCCATCCGAAATCCGTTCCCCTGATAGGTAAATAAACCAGAAAAAGAACGGAGAGGCTGCACTGCAACCGCTCACAACACAAACAAATTTTAAAATCAGGGGACCATAAAAAAAATACGGGACGCCATATCCAGACCGACACCACATCTCTCGACAGCCGTCCACCGCCCCAAAACCCAGTCCTCTGCATATTATCTCGTCCTCGTTTCCTCTCTAGGTCTCACAATTCCTTCTTCAACACCGACCCCAAGACCCCTACAAATATCCAACCATGCGTGAAATCATCAGCATCAACGGTATGTCGTCTGGCCTCTTTACCCTCTCTTTCCCTCATCCTCTCTCCGGAGCCTCGTATTCAGCCGTGGCGGCCATCTGACCGTGCCGGGCGCGCGTTCCTGCGATGCTCGTCGGGTTTTGGGTTCGGCTGGATTTGCTGGGGGGGTTGTTGTTTGGCATGGGGAGGTGACCGCCTTCACCGCATCCTGGCCATTTCCTGTCTGCACATCAGCCACCATCACAATGCCTCTTGTGTTTGGGCACTTGAGCATCTGTACTGACTGTGTCTTTTCAATCTAGTCGGCCAGGCCGGTTGCCAGATCGCCAATTCCTGCTGGGAGGTACGTGTTCCGCCGACGTTCCGACAATATCATGTCACGATGAGAAATTTTGTCGATGAAATAACGGTGTGCTGACAAACCCAAACAGCTGTACTGCCTTGAGCACGGCATCCAGGTACGTTTGTTCCCGTTGCGTTGCGTCGTGCTGTGTTGTGTTGACCATTGCCGCTCGGCATCGTCGCCGTCGACCTCTTACTAACGCGTCTCTCGTCTCTTTAGCCCGATGGCTACCTGACCGAGGAGCGCAAGGCTGCCGACCCTGACCACGGCTTCAGCACATTCTTCACCGAGACCGGTACGTCCTTTTGGGTGGCGTGTCGTGTGTCCCGTCCGTCGGCATCGCTTGTGTTTACTGACCATATGTTTCTTCCCTTCCAGGCCAGGGCAAGTATGTCCCGCGCACCATCTACTGCGATCTCGAGCCCAATGTCGTCGACGAAGTCCGCACCGGCACCTACCGCAGCCTGTTCCACCCCGAGCAGATGATCACCGGCAAGGAGGATGCCTCCAACAACTACGCTCGTGGCCACTACACCGTCGGCAAGGAGCTGATCGACCAGGTCCTGGACAAGGTCCGCCGCGTCGCCGACGGCTGTGCCGGCCTGCAGGGCTTCCTCGTCTTCCACTCGTTCGGTGGCGGTACCGGCTCGGGTTTCGGCGCCCTGCTGATGGAGCGCCTGTCCGTCGACTACGGCAAGAAGAGCAAGCTCGAGTTCTGCGTCTACCCCGCCCCGCAGACCGCCACCTCTGTTGTTGAGCCGTACAACTCCATCCTGACCACGCACACCACCCTCGAGCACGCCGACTGCTCGTTCATGGTGGACAACGAGGCCATCTACGACATCTGCCGCCGCAACCTCGGCCTCGAGCGCCCGACGTACGAGAACCTCAACCGCCTGATTGCCCAGGTCGTCTCGTCCATCACCGCCTCGCTGCGCTTCGACGGCTCGCTCAACGTCGACCTCAACGAGTTCCAGACCAACCTGGTGCCGTACCCGCGCATCCACTTCCCCCTGGTCGCCTACGCCCCCGTCATCTCGGCCGCCAAGGCCGCCCACGAGGCCAACTCCGTCCAGGAGATGACCATGTCGTGCTTCGAGCCCAACAACCAGATGGTCAAGTGCGACCCCCGCAACGGCAAGTACATGGCAACGTGCCTGCTGTACCGCGGCGACGTCGTGCCCAAGGATGCCCACGCCGCCGTGGCCACCCTCAAGACCAAGCGCACCATCCAGTTCGTCGACTGGTGCCCGACGGGCTTCAAGCTCGGCATCTGCTTCCAGCCGCCCCAGCAGGTCCCCAATGGCGACCTGGCCAAGGTCAACCGCGCCGTGTGCATGCTGTCCAACACCACCGCCATTGCCGAGGCCTGGTCGGCCCTGTCGGCCAAGTTCGATCTCATGTACTCCAAGCGTGCGTTCGTCCACTGGTACGTCGGCGAGGGCATGGAGGAGGGCGAGTTCTCCGAGGCCCGCGAGGACCTGGCGGCCCTGGAGCGCGACTACGAGGAGGTTGCCACCGACTCGCTGGAGGCCGAGGAGATCGAGGCCGAGTACTAGACGACGCAATGTGCAAGGGACGGTTGTGGAGCGTCTTTTTATTTTTGACAAGCGGAAAAGAGACGTTGACGTCGACATGACCTTGACGCTGGCCTTTTTTATACAATGTTCGTAATAGCGAAAAGAGGAAGATATATAAACAGATTGGCCTTGGCAGGTGTTAACTTCTTGATTCTTGCCATCTCCCGTTTTTTTCAACTCGACCTCTTTTCATCTTGTTGCGTTTTTTTATCTTCTCTGTTTTCTTTGCTTTTTTGTTTCTACTTTTCCCTCTCTTGTTCTTGATTCCACCATTGATTCTATACAATTTCTCCGTTGCTCGTCCGACGCCGTGAAGGTGCATGAACACTCACGCATTATGCCGCTTCTCGGCCAAAGCTGCCCCCCAACACGTAAACCCCGTCATATTTGCAATCATACGTCGTGTAACCTACATCAGCAAAACCAACCCGCGCCACACCCAGCCTTGTCAAACGTCGCGCCAACCGGCTGTCATTCCATAACCTGCATGCAACCGTCGTTTACCAACGGACAATGACATGCACTGAAGCTTCCTTGCTTTTGAATTTGCCTTGAAGTGTCCATTGAGATGGGAATGGAGAGGCCAAATCGCTGAGCCTCGACCACCGCTGAACTGTGTCTCAGAATGCCTCTTCGGGTAGCGTGGCCGAGCTGTGACATCTCCTGTAATTTGTACACCCAACTCCATTGTCGGATGGTGCCTGCTCACTGTACGACGTATACCCGGTTCAGATGCCTTTCCTTTGAGGAATCATTCTGACTCTCTACAAGATACGGCACCTATTCCACTGTAAGATACCTCTGTACATTTCGGCCCTAGCGCTAATACGAAGTGCGTGCCTGCTGGAGAGACGCTAGAAACGGCCGAACCGGCTTTAATCTCCTGTCCAATGGACCGCCCCAAACAGGCTTAGGACGCTCTGAGTGGGAAGGAACACCCGTCCCCCAGCACCCCAAAACGCCCTGACGCTCCAACCAAGTCCCAGCCGGACGCACCTGCTGCCCCCTGCGCCGCCCGTGTTTGGCTGCGTCTGCGCGCCTGCCGCACGGCACAATTGACAGGCTGCGACACTGAGGTCAGCAAGCAGAGGTAAAGAGAGTGGGAAGGCGCCGCCGGCGATCCTTCCTGGATGACCCAGCCATCTCCAAAAGCCACTTCCCTTTTCCGACATCGTGCATTTTCCCACTCCCCAGTCTTTTATTTTCCGTCCCTCATCTTCTTCATTTCTCTCTCCTTTTGGCCATCTTTCTCGGCCTTTCGTTCCAGCGCACCCACCCAACGACCGTTTGCAGAGACGATCGCTCGCCTCTCTGCCAAACCGTTGCTACCCCTGAACGACAGTTGGCTTAGCTTTGGCGGCCGTTCTGCCAGGCACAGCTTGCCCTCTTCTTCGACTTCGATCAACCATCTCGACATCTCGACGACGGGAGGCCACTTTGAGCTCCCGAACCCTTGGCAACTCTTCTCTTGCTCGCTTTTTCGTCCGTCCTCCGAACCGCTCCGGACGGCAATCTTTTGCTTGCTGGCTGGACATTTCCTTCCGACGACCAGCCCGTCTCCCGGAGATACTGGGATACATCAGGAGCTGGCAACTTTGTCAACCAACTGACACTACCAGAGCTTAGCTCACCCAGGGCACCAACCATTGAGCTTTCGCTGCCTCCTGGCTACCCGCTCTTTTTACGTCCTTTGTTCCTCGCTCGCCCGACCGATTCCAACGAACGCACGCTGTGCAATTTCGAACCAACATGCACCACGAAAGCCAAGCTTCGACACATCCTCCTTCAACGATTCAGAATAATACATTGCGAATTGTGAATTGCGAATTGTGAATTGCGAATCGTTCTACAGCGTCGCCCGATTGGCATCGTTCTCTCGTCACTGAGCTTCGGCGCCCCCTTGCCCGCAAATGGCTTCCGAAGGCTCCGACGAGGTTGGTAAGTGACGTGCACGACGCCCGGAGACGCTGTGGAAGCTCTCTTTTCTTGTAGTGCCGCTTGGCTAACTCGCTCTCTTCACTGCAGCTACGAACCTCAACCTCACGATCGAGGAGAAGCAGGTCTATGGCCAGCTCTTTCGCCAGGCCGACCCCGAGAGCGTCGGCATTGTGATGGGCGAGGTCGCCGTCAAGTTCTTTGAGAAGACCCGACTCGACTCGCGCATTCTTGGCGAGGTACGATGAGTCCCTCTGGCTGTTCTTCTTTTGTCGTGTCTCTAACACATCTAGATTTGGCAAATTGCCGACAGAGAAAACCGCGGCTTCCTGACACCCGCCGGCTTTGGCGTCGCCTTGCGCCTCATCGGCCACGCGCAGGCTGGCAGAGAGCCTTCGCCCAACATCGCTCTGCAGCATGGCCCCCTCCCCCGCTTCGAAGGCGTCGTCACCGCTGCGGGCGCCCTTCCCTCGCAAGGGCCGGCTGCCGGTCCGCTCTCTGCGCAAGGAACAGGAGCGGGCGCGCAGCAGCTAGCAGCACAGGGCACCGGTCCTGGTGCCGCGACCCGCGTGCCGCCACTGTCGCCCGAGAAGGCCGCGCAGTATGCCCGCGTCTTCCAAGACCAGACGCGCGGCGAGTCCGTCATGTCGGGCGACGTGGCCCGGCGTATCTTTGAGAAGTCGGGCCTTGGTATCGAAACGCTCGGCCGCATCTGGCAGCTGGCCGACACGGAGCAGCGCGGCGCGCTCGTCCAGACCGAGTTCGTCGTTGCTATGCACTTGTTGACGTCCACCAAGTCGGGCACGCTGCGCGCCCTGCCTGCCATGCTGCCGGCTGGCCTGTACGAGGCTGCGACACGCGGTGTGGCCGCTGCGTCGCCCGGTCCCGGCGGCACTATTGGTGTTGCTGTCGGCAGCCCTGCGAGCCCTGTCGCCCGCCAGCAGAGCCCTCTGGGCGGCGGTTTCGGCGCTGGCGGGATCCTGCCCCCGCCCCCGACCGCCTCCATCTCTCGCCAGCTGACCGGCCAGTTGACGGGCCACGCGCGTCCTGCGCCGCCCAACTTCTCCAACAGCCCGCTCGGTCGCGCAGCCGCGCCCGCTGCGGCGCCTGCTGCCACTGGACCCGAGTGGCTCATCACACCCGCTGAGAAGGCGCGTATGGACCCCGTGTTCCAGAGCCTCGACAAGACACGCAAGGGCTACATCACCGGCGAGGAAGCCGTGCCGTTCTTGACCCGGTCGGGTCTGGACGAGGACACGCTCGCACAGATCTGGGACCTGGCCGACGTGAACTCAGAGGGACATCTGACGAGCGATACGTTCGCCGTGGCTCTGTATCTTATCCAGCAACAGCGCCAGCGGACCGACGGCACAAGCGCCCTGCCTGCCAAGCTGCCCCCCAATCTTGTGCCCCCCAGCCTGCGCAGCAAGGTCGGGACGGCCAGCCCAGCGCCCGCCGTCGCCCCGCCTCCTCCTCCGCCGGCGCAGCCCAAGTCGGCGATGGACGACCTGTTTGGCCTCGACACGGGCGCGTCCTCGACACCTTCTCTGCCGGCTGCCCCGGCTGGTGTGTCCGACCCGTTCGCCACCAGCAGCAGCCCTGTCCCGCCCAGCTCGCCCACACGATCGCCCACCGTCAACACGACCACCTTCAAGCCCTTTGTGCCTTCGTCGTCCTTTGGTCGTTCCCTGACGGCGCAAGTTACGGGCGACTCCAACAGCTCGGCGCCGTCGGCAACCGCCAAATCGGCACCACCTTTGCCCCAGCAGCCGCCGGGTGCGCAGAGCGCGGCCAATGACCTTCTTGGCGGCGACGACGGCGAGGCGAGCCGCAACCTGTCCAATGACACCGCAGAGCTGGCGAACCTGTCGAACCAGATCGGCTCGCTGTCCAAGCACATGCAGGACACGTCCGCGCACCGCTCGACTCTGCAAAACGAGCTGAGCCAGACCAGCACCCAGAAAAAGAACTTTGAGCAGCGCCTGGCCCAGTTGCGGACCCTGTACGAGAAGGAGGCTCGCGACGTGCGTGCCTTGGAGGAGCAGCTGAAGACGTCCCGCAGCGACACCAAGACCCTGCAGACGCAACTGTCCACGCTGCAGGCCTCGTATGCAGACCTCCAGACGCAGCACCAGACGATCTCGACGGCGCTGCAAGCAGACCAGCAGGAGAACGCGAGCCTGAAGGAGCGCATCAAGGCCGTCAGCGCCGAGGTGAACCAGCTCAAGCCCCAGATCGAAAAGTTAAAATCTGAGGCGCGTCAACAAAAGGGCATCGTGGCCATCAACCGGAAACAGCTGTCCCTCGGCGAAAGCGAGCGCGACAAGCTGAAGACGGAGGCCGACGACGTGACGCGCCAGAACCAAGACCTTGCCCGCCAAATACAAAACGCCAGCGTCGTCTCGAGCGCCGGCTCCGCGGCCGCCAGTCCCTCCGTTGCGTCGGCGTCGGGTAAGAACCCGTTCTTCCGCCGCACCGGCAGCTCCGACATCATGGGCGTATTCTCATCGCCTACGCAAGGCCAGTCGCCGCAACAGCTTGGTGAGCAGTCATTTGACGACGTCTTCGGCCCCGGCCCGGCTGCTCCCGCTGCTGCTGCTGCTGCTGCCCCTGTGGTCCCCACTGCCCCTGCCGCCGTGAACGCGGTCAAGCCGCAGTTTACGGGCGCTTCCACCGGATCCTCTTCATTCTCTGCCGTGACGGCGCCGACGTCCGAGACTGCGACACCGGACATCAACCGTCCAGGCACAGATGCCACGCCGACCGCCGAGCCTGCCAGCCAGACGTCTTTCCATCCGCTTGCGACCACGACCGCATCGCCTCCACCAACCACTGAGGCTGCCGTTGCGCCGCCTTCTGCGTCCCCCAAGGTCGCGTCCCCGGCCGCCAGTGCGACGTCGCCTGTCCCGCCTGCCGACCATGCTTCAGCTGCCGCGTCTCCCGCGCCAGTCGTATCCAAGGATGTGCCTTCTAGCACCTCCCATGGTCCCGAGGCACAGACGTCTTCGTCGTCGGTCTTTGGTGGCTTCGGTGCCACGGCCGCTGCCGCGGCTGCGGCTGCCGTCACGGCAGCGACGGCTGGCGTTGCGGCTGTTGTTTCCGGCACGGGCGATGCGACGTCTCCCGGGGACGATGCCGACAAAGGCAAGTCTGTGTGGAGCCAGGGCCACGTCGCGAACGACAGCCTGTCGGATCCGTTCTCGGCAAAGGACCAGCAACAGGACAAGGCCAAGGAAGACTTTGAGTCTGCCTTTGCCAGCTTTAAAGCGGCCCGTTCTGCCGAGCCGTCTGGCCACGACGACGACGCCTTTGAGGTGAAGTCGCCTGCCGGCGCTGCCGCGCCCAGCACCGCTGCGACCGCGACGAAGGCTGAAGATCCCGTCAACACAGATACCTCCAAGGCCTTTGCCAATTTCAACACGGAGTTCCCGCCGATCTCTGAGCTGCAAAACGACGAGTCCGACTCAGATAGCGATGGTGGCGGATTTGACGACGACTTTGCGCCTGCGTCGCCCAAGAACAACCAGAGCGAGAAGGCACCAGAGTCAGCGCCAGCATTGGCTGCCGTTACGGTCCCGGAGGCCACGCACGGAGATCGTGCGGGCCCCAAGGATGCCTCTCCCGCAGCGGCAGAGTCTGCTCCAGCTGCCTCGGACATCTTCTCCACCCCTGCTTCTGTCACGCCCAATGTTTTCAGTGCCCCAGCCCCGAGCGCCAGTATGGATGATATCTTTAGCGCACCAGCAACTTCGGCTCCGGAACCGGCCCCTGCGGTCGCGTCTACTGCGGCACCCACTGCTGCGGCTGCAGCACCGGCAACCATGAACGCCTCGGACGACGACGCGTTCGATGATCTTGACGACGACTTTGAGGGTCTCGAGGAGGCCCGCGAGGGATCGGCCGACGACGATTTTGCAAACGTCAACCGCTCGGCGCTCGACGACTTCCAGTCCACCTTTGAGTCGTCGCCCACGGGCAAGTTCGACTCGCAGAATTCGTTTGCCGGTGACAGCAGCTTTGACTTCTCTACGCTCGGCGCGTCGTCCACGTCGGCCGGCACAGCTGCTGCTGCCGCGCAGGCCGTTAATGGCGCCAAGGCGGCAACGGGTGACGCGGGCGACTGGTTTTCGTTTGCGGGTGACGAAGCAAAGCCGGCCGCGGCATCGGCTCAAGCTGACTCTGGTCCGTCAGCTGCCACCGACGAGGCTGCCCGGCCTGCCACCCTCAACCGGCTCGACACGCAGAACAGCACGAACGACGACCCGATCCTGCGGCAGCTGACGGGCATGGGCTACCCGCGTGCCGTGGCTCTGAGCGCGCTGGAGAAATACGACTACAATGTGGACCGGGTACGTCAAGCGAGCGGCGATGGCTCCAGGCATTTTCCATGACTGCAATCATGCTAACCGTTTTGGTTCACAGGCTGCTAATTTCCTCGCCAACGAGTCCTAGGCCTCTGGCATTTTTTCGTTTTCGCCCATCTTACTATTCATTGCCATGCCCGAATCGCCGATGCTTCCGTGCTTATTGGCACACGCTCTCTTACCTGTTTATTGTCAACAGTGCTTTTCTTTGCGCGTCCTCGTCACTTTCGAGTTTCATTTTGTTCTTGCGTTTCTGCGGTTCTCCATTTCTCCATTTCTCCATTTCTCCATTTCTGCGTTGCGTTGCACGTATTTCTAGCCAATATGAGTCTTTTGCTTTTGAAATGTTGCCCATCCTATTCTAATTATATTTTTTTGTATTATTCTCTTGTATTACGCTGCTGTTTGTCTCTGATCTGGATTTCGACGGACACTATGCACCCCGTGTGTACTCAGACCGCCTTGTCGTGCCCTCTGTCTTCGCTGTCTTGTTTGGCCTCAACATTTGTTGTTGCAATTATCTTCTTGTTGTAAATAGCTATTGGACCCCCAAAATACACATTGTCTCTACTAATAACACCTTTATCTGCTTTGGACATGCCAACAGTTTCTTCTACACGTATTTTCCGCTCTCTCTTTCATTTCCATTCCCATTTCCATTTGCATTTCTATTTCTATGATCGCTATTTCCAACATCTCGTATTTTCTTTTGGACGTTTTGCTTCAACCGATCACTCCATCGTTTTCGGCTGGATTTGCAACTTTCAAACAAATGTCCGTCATTTTGCCCGGGACTATTGGCTGACATTGGCGCGCTATGGTTCTGTTGAAAGAAAGGTCGGCAAAACGGCGATGTTGGCGCCAGTGGCGTCTTGTGTGCCTGTGCCTTGCAACCCCCTGGGGTTGAAGGGGTCTAACGACCAAGCCAACGAACCAATGCAGACCAATAGTCAATATTTACATCTGGCCAACGCCAATGGCGACAAAGAAACGACACCCAATCTAGCCCGAGCCAGCAAAGTTCGACCACCACGAGCTTCGAGCTTTCAATGAAAAGACGAAAACGGGACAGAAAATGGACAGGAAAAGGCCAGGCACGACGCGGAGAGGATGTTCAGGTCCCGTTCGGGACAGACACTCGACTCGACGACGGGAATGACCACCGTATCTCACCTCCTTCACCGCAGTCGTATCACGGGCTCTCCAGGAGCAAGCCGTTGACTACCGAGCAGTTTCAACGTTCAGGGACGAAATCTGTTTCGTTTCTATTATCCCCTTCCCGCTCTTTTGATGGTTCGACTACCGTTACTGGAAGAGACAATCAAGGTCCCAACCCGGATTACACGACAAGCCACCGGCACATGTCACGGACGTTGTCATGTCTGGATTTGTCCATGTGTCCGATCCTTTCGGCCAAGCGTCACCTTGGCATCGACGGAGTTGGGGTGCTCGACGTTCTTTGTTTTCTTGTTCTCTTGTTCGCTTCTTCTCCGCTTCTATTGGGTGTGCCTCTGGTTCGCTGACTGGGATTCGTGCCGGATCCGACCTTCACACCCTCATGCACAAAAGGTCGGGCCGCCGGGGCGAATGAATGAGAGGAGACGAGTGCTAGAGGCATTATGGCCCAACCGCAGTGCCTGAATGAGCGTGATCCGGCATACGGTGTCTTTGTCGTCGTCCACAACGGGAAGCATTGGCCATCTGGGGCATGATGCAAGGATAGAACGCTGTCGGTGTATAAAGGACGCACAACCCTCCCGTTGTCGATGTTCTCCCTTCAGCATTCGTCCCTTCCCTTGTCATCCCGGGAAACGCTCTCTCAACACGTCTACCACCATGAAAGTGTCCGTTCTCTCCCTAGCCGTGGTCGCTGGTCTGGTCCAGCGGTCTGCTGCCGGTGGTGGCGACTATGACCACTGTCGTCCCGTAAGTCGTCCCGATCTCGTCATCCCTATGTCTCCAAAGCACCATACTGACTCCTCCAGAACACCTGCAACAACGCCGTCACCAACCGTGGCAGTCCGCCGCTCAACTCGGCCGCCAAGGACGACTGCAGCTCGTTCTTTGCCTGCAATCCTGTCACCGCCACAGACTGTCTCAATACCATCACCGTCTGGGACACCGTCTCCAAGGAGCCCGTCACGAAGACCCTCGCCACCACCACGACGTGGGTCACACTGGGGACCAACGCCTACACCGACGTCGAGACCAACACCGTCGTCGGCGTGACCAAGACCCTCTTCGACACGGTCACGGTCGCCACCGATGTCGTCACCGTCACCAAGTTTACGCCCACCGAGACCATCAAAGCGACCACGACGGTGTACACAGGCCAGCCACTCGACCGCCGCGACCGTGGTGGCGAGGCGGGGAAGCAGCCACGGCTGAAGAAGCGGAACAACCGGTGCAAACCCTCGCTGCCGTCGTCGTCGAGCCAAAGCCCGTCGAGCTCCTCGTCTCCTCCTCCGTCGTCAAGCCAAAGCCAGTCGAGCCCCTCGTCTCCTCCTCCGTCATCAAGCCAAAGCCTGTCAAGCCCCTCATCTCCTCCTTCCACGTCGTCGTCATCGCCGTCGTCGTCATCGCCGCCGTCGTCAAGCCAGAGTCTGTCAAGCCCCTTGTCTCCGCCGCCGTCGTCAAGCCAGAGCCTGTCAAGCCCCTCGTCTTCTCCTCCTACGTCGTCGTCATCGCCGTCGTCGAGCCAGAGCCAGTCGACCCCCTCGTCTCCGCCGCCGTCGTCAAGCCACAGCCAGTCGAGCCCCTCGTCGTCGCCGCCGTCGACGTGCCCCTTCCCCGTCCCCACATACGCGGCGGCCTGCGGCGACGCTGCCAACTACGCCAGCGCCTGCTCCTGCGGCGGCGTCAAGGCCACGACCACGACGATCACGGTCCAGGCCACCACTGTCACACGCACCACGACGGTCACGCCCACCGTCACGGCCACGTCGACCAAGACCAAGACAACGTACACACGGGTGACCACGACCACGTTTGTGACCAAGATTGCAACGACAACGACGTTGAAGGAGCAGGACGTCACCAAGACGACAACCCAGACGATTCGGCAGACCAAGACGGTCACTGCGACCACCACGCTGACGCTGCCCACGTGCACCAACAAGGCGATTACGGCCACAGGCTACACGGGCGGCAGCGGGGGCAAGCCGCCGACCAAGGTCACTCTGCCGTTCAACATCCGCTGCTTCACGCTGATCCAGCCGACCAACAACGACTGCACCTCGTCGTGGTCGTCGGAGAACTCGGTCGGCGCGTGCGCATCCAACTGCGCAAGCAACAGCGGCTGCGACGCCTTCATGTTCCAGATTGCGACACGCCAGTGCACGCTCTTCTACAAGCTGAGGACGTACAATCTGGTGGCCAACAACGGCTACGTATCGGGGCTGCAGCCGTGAAGAGGCAGTGGGCTGTGGAGCGTGGGATTGTGGGGGCTCTGGATGGGTTATAGTATGGGACAACATGTGCGGTCGTTTCAAATATGGATGTCTTCCAATATGTGAATATAAACGGTGACTGAATGATGATGCATTTGTTGTCGACTTACACGATAATTGTGGGGTAATTACAGTGTGAATACAGTATGTAGACTGTATGCGCACATAGAAGTTCGCCCCACTGAAAAGTTGGGGAAGGCGCCTTTAAATCGTACTACGAACCCAAATTACAAAATAGGTCGTCGCAAATCTTTCACCAACACCCGCTGCCAAAAAAAGAGAGATTCAACAACAACGCAACGCCCACCGCAACGCAACACTCCCACCTTGCCACGATGAGCGACGACGACGAGCCGGCCATCTACGACGAGGTCGAGATCGAGGACATGACGTTTGACGCGGCGCGCGGGCTGTACCACCACCCGTGCCCGTGCGGCGACCGTTTCGAGATTGCTCTGGAGGACCTGCTGGACGAGTCCAACGACATTGCCGTGTGCCCGAGCTGCAGCCTGATGATTCGGGTGATTTACGACGTGGTAAGTGCAGGCGTGAGGCGTGCAGGCGTACATGCGAAGCAGGCAGATATGGCGGGCCTGTAGAGAGTTGCAATCGTCTTGCTAACTAGCCCAGGAAAATCTTCCCAAAGGACCAGGCAACGGACCGGCCAGCGAGACGCTGGTGGTGGCTTGAAAAAGAACGACAAGTACGGAATAAAAAAAGAGGACGATCAACGAACATACACATGCCGAGCCGCGTTTGAGACGGAGAGACGTGGTGGTAGGGGGGGCGGTCATGTCAGTGGGTGTCTGAGAGGCAATGGGCCATCCGACTCGACACGCCACCAGATGTCGACGACTGTCGCTCGCTTCCGCCAAAGGCGACACAGCACTGCTCGGGCAAATCGACAAAGAGGCTACGACATATGTTGTGGCTGTAAGATGTGCAGGACATGTGGCGACGTCCACATCAGACAACCGCCAAAGCCTGCAGAGTCAACGCATTGCACCACCCAGGAAAATGCCGGACGGCTTGTTCACAAGACGACGGGGGGCATGGTCCTGGTCCCGCTTTATACTCCTCCAATGCGCAACGCCGCTGCCGGGACTCGTTGTATGCGGCCACCACCGCTGGCCAGTGTACGTCAATATTAATTTTGTGCCTCGCATCAGAGCCGTCTGAACCGCGCACAACACACAGAATGGCATGCACAACTGCAGCGAAATGAGCAATGGCCATGGCAACAGCACGTCGTGTTTGGAATACAGGGCTGCGTGCACGGCGAGAGATGGTGGGACCGTCAACAGCAGGCCGCTAACTACTTCTTGCCCGACGGATTCAGAGTGGACAACATGAACAAAATGAATGAGATTGTATTACTTGCATCATTGGGCCAAAACCTGTGTCTCCTTTCATTCTCCTCCCCACTTCGCCTCGTAACACGACGTCGGCCAACTGCCTCTTTGCTGTTACCCAACGTGCGTTTCATTATGCGAAGTCTGCCCGTGCTTTCTGTGCCTCCGCGCTGTCCTCCCTCGATGTCCGTTCAGTATCACACTATCAGAATGACAGACGTCACGCACAGTCCGGCACGCCGCCCTGACCGCCGAACCCAATCAACCTACACAACAACCAGCCCCAGCATCACAAGCAGTACCATCGAGCCCAGGGCCGCCCGGTCCAGCACCATCATGGCATCGGCGCCGGCCGTCGGCACGGTCGCCGGCGAGGTCGTGGTGGCCGTGCCCGAGCTCGTCCGCGTGCCCGTGCCCGTGCCCGGGTACGGTGTCAGCGAGGGCGGCGTCGTTGTCGTCGTCGCCGTCGCCGTCGCCGTTGCTGTTTGGCCCGTCGTCCACGTGGTCGGCCAGGCGGGCAGGACAATGGTGGTGGTGGACGTGGCCGATTCGGTGAGGACGATGGTGGTGTAGCTCTGGGCCGCAGCCGTGGCTGCCATGAGAGCGGCGGCGGTGGCAGCGGTGGCAGCGGCAGCAGAGAAGGGCTTCATTGTGAGAGTGTGTTGCTTTTGTGCTTTTATTGTCTAATTTGAGGACAATCTTGGTGTGAACGAGAAACAATTGTTTGCAAATCTGTGTATAGCAGTTTGTAAAAAGCTTATAAAACGAGTGAAGATTTTCTTTTCGGAGGTGAGGAGAGAAAGAAGGTAAAGTGAGAACAGAGAGAAGGACAAGAGACGAAATCCATGAGTAGGTATGGAGGCATATATACGTCCAGGATACGATAGTACGCGTCAAGAGTGCTTCCTGGGACCAGAGACGCAGAATGGAAGGCGTCAGAGGCGGCACAAAATAACACAAATTACACAAATGACACAGATGACACAAATGACACAAAACAAATAACACAAAACTTGTTCGTCAGTCGGCACAGGTACGACGGCAAACAAGACGAAACAGTCCGCGTTACCAGGCCTCGGCGGCTAGAGGAGGACCTGTCAACGATAGGCCTGGTGGAAAGGAGACGAGACACAAACAAGACACACAAAGCACAAACGAAGCACAAATACAAGAGACGGGATGCTCCCAGGTCAAACGTGCACGACGAGGCACAGTGCACGGTTTATCTTGTCCACTAGTTTCTGTGCACAGGGAGTACGGCAAGCACGCTGAATGAAATAAAGCAGAGAAACGAAGGACGTGTGACTATGTGGTGACGATGTGGTGACGATGTGGTGGCTGGTAAAAACAAGTTGGGTGAGGAAAACATTTTTTTAAGAAAAGAATAAAACAAGGAAATAATACAACTGAAGGTAACGACACAGAACAGGCAGCAAGATACCACAAACTCAGTACCCGTACATCCTGTCTGAACCGTGCCATTGTCCAGAATTGCAGACAAGAGATGTACCGGGACGAGTGGTACTTATTGCTGTTGTCGTCGTATATTTACGTTCAAAAAAGTAAGACTTTTATTATTTTTGTTTCTATGTATTTACTTTTAGTTTTACTGTATATGTTTCGTCTCTTCCTTTTTAATCTCCTGGAGTCAAAAGTAATATAAAAACCGAAAGCGGTTCTCTTAAAATTGATAGAAAACGAAATCGAAAACAAAAACAAAACAAAAACAAACAAAACAAAAAGAAACAAAGTCCCAACACCCCTCGTATTCTCATCTCGCTTCTCTGATCAGCACTCGTCCCGCCTGGCAGGTCGTTTCAGGGCGTTCTTCAGCGGGCCCCGCACTGTGTTCCTTCAATAGCTTGCTGGCACACCCCACTCAGCTCACACAGCACGCTAATAATAGTCAGCCTAGCGCCTACAGAATACATTATGCTTACTTACGACGCCCTCCACCAGGCGGTCCAAGGACACTCCAAATCGAGACAATTCGCATCGCCACATTTTCCCCAGATTGCATCCCGATTGCACTCCCATTGCACCCACGTTCACACCGATTGCGCCGACTCGGATCCTTTGTTCGCGGCAGCCAATACGATACGCCTCGTCGGCGTCTTCTGCTTCTCTGCACCCAGCTGATAACCTGTGCCGCACGACGACGACATCCCCTCGAATCTCCTTGATCTCTCAACGTCTCAACCTTTCGATCTCGCCAGTTCACGTACCACAGCCTCCGCCCGTCGACATTGCCCCCTCTCGATCGTACCCGACTGGCGGTGTACCACGACCACGCTCCTGTCCAATGCGCCACACAATGTGACGGGGTGGCCGTGCCGAGTCGACCGAAGCCATCGCCAGATTGCACGACCTCGACCATCTCTCTTCGCTCTTTTTGCTCTTTTTGCTCTCTTCGCCCCTAACCAGCATCGCCATCGACCCGCCCACCATGCAGCCTGCACGGCCGCCACGAGGCCCCGGAAGCTTCTCGCCGCTGCGGCCGCCGTCACCACCGCCAACCTCGGCCGCCCTGGTGGCAGCGACGGCGGCGAACAACTCGTCTCGCGCCAGCCTCTCGCCCACGTTTGACCAGCCGTCACGCATGGCACCGACACCGCCGACGCGGCCGCGCCGTGACTCGCCCGTGACCGGCGACGAGAATCCGCGTCTGTCGGCGCTGCCCTCGCCCTTGACGATCAACAAGATGCGCCAGCAGATACCGACGCAGCAAACACAAACACAGTCGCAACAACCGGGCATCGCCGGCAGTGCCAGCACATCAGCGCCACCGACAGCCGCACCCCCTGCGCACAGCAACTTCTCCCGCCCGACGCCCGTGACGGCTGCCGTCGCTGCTGCCGCCGCCGCGCGGCAAAATGCAAACGCCAACGCCGCAGCCACAGCAGCGGCCGCTTCGGCCGCCTCGGCTGGCGCTGCGGGACTCAACGTTGCTGCCGGCGAGACTCTGCGGGCCGTTTCGCCGCTGCCGCTGACGCTGCCGACCGCGAGCAGCTCCTCCAACAATACCAATACGGCAGCAGAAAAGACGGCAACGGCCGCCCCCACGAGCCCCATCGCCTCCTTCAAGCCCTCGCACTCGCGCAAGCACTCCCAAACCGCCGGCCTCTTTGACGTCTCGCTGCCCTCGACCAACGGCGGCGGAAGCCTGTCCCAGGTCATCAATGCACAGCAGCAGGGGCAGGGCCAGCAAAACGCGCGGCCGTCGTCCCGTGGTGGTGTCAACACGCCGCCTCTGCAGGAGCGGCGCGAGATGAGTGCGAGCCAAATCGCTGCCCAGGCGGCCGTCCTCCACCACAAACAGGGAACGGCACAAGGCCACGGCCAGGGCCAAGGCCAGGGCTCGGCCAAGCTGACGCCCCAGCAGCAGCAGCAACTGCAGCAAGCGCAGCAGTCCCAGATGGTACAGCAGCAGCAGCAGCAGCAGCAGCAGATCCAAGGCCACCCTGCCCAACATGCGCAATACGCCCACTCACAACCGCCCTCTCTCTACCAACAACACTCTCTCCAGCATCAGACGGGACCGCCGCAGCATGTGCCGCAACACTCCCGCCAGCGGTCGCAGACTGTGCCCGCACCCGGCGAGTCGTACGAAGCCGTTGCGGCCGCGTCGAACACCGGCAGCATCAACAAGAACAAGCGGAGCAGTGGCGGGCCCCTGGTGCCGCCCACGTTGAGCTTGACCGAGGCCAGCGCCCCGCGCGAGAGCGGCTTCGGCAACCAGACGTACCACAACGGCCTGCTCGGCAGCCACACGTCGGCCGCGCAGACGGCCGCCAACGTCGTGTTTGCGCGCTCGGGCGGGCCGCCGTCGCCCAAAATGGCACAGCAGGCACAGCAGGCACAGCAGGCACAACATGCACCGCTACCGCCTCTGCCACCGCCCCCGCCCGTCCCCGAGAAAAAGGCCGAAAAGTCCAAGGTCAAGCTCTTCTCGCGGCCCGGCAAGATCTCCACCAAGGGCGACGCAAAGGACAAGCCGCTGCCCAGCCCCAACAAGATGGGCATCTCGTCGGCCCTCGCCTCGCTGCAGCGCGCCAACTTTAGCACCACCAGCCTCGACTCGTCCAGCCAGTCGTCCTTTTACAGCCTGGGCAACTCGTCGGCCGCCACCATCCGCGCCGCCGACAGCGGCATGGGCTTGGGCATGGGCATGGGCATGGGCATGGGCTTGGGGCTGGTCGGGTCCAGCAGCAGCGCGACGCTCGGCGGCGTCGGCGGCAGCGGTGGTCTCGGTCTCACGAACACGGCCGCGGGCGGCGCTCCCACCTTTTATGAAAAGGACAGCACCGCGAGCACGGCCGGCGGAAAGGACGGTAAGGA